GAACAAGAAAAATGCAGAATCTCTTGAAGTATAATATAGTGTAATTTTGTGTCACCTACCGTGTTCTTTATTTCTGTTGTTTCTGACTGTAGTCATTTTTTAGACTCTCATACTTACCTACCTGTGCTTTGACGACTGCCTCTGCTGTTATTTCTTTGAACTCAGAACATCATCATCATAGTGTCACTAAAGACACTGTCTGAGGATTTGCTGGTGGTATTTATATTTTCGGTAATACTGGTTCATTCATTGATCTTGGTGGGCTTCAGTGTGTTTTTCTCATCGGTCATTGGATTTCTAATGTCCTTGTTGTGTGGGGACGGGGGTGGGGTAGGGTGGGGAGTTTTTGTAGTTACAACCTCTAGCCCACGCAGGAAGATACTGAGGAATTAAGCTGAAGATTGCTCTGTCTTTCTTCTCTGCCCATCCTGGGATCATGGAAAAGCAAGAAGTAGGTCAGGCAGGAGCTATAGTGTGGGTGCAGGGTCCCACCCGATAGGGAGCGCTTCTGTCTCCTCCTCAGGAGAAGGTCCAGTGATGTCTGCTGGAGCTAGGCGTCACCTGGGATGCTGGAGAAGCAATTTACCACAGACGCTCCAGGGAGTCAAAAGAACCTATATGTCATACACACATTGACAGACTTCTGGGCTTTTAATTTCTCCATAAAGCATATCCCAGGTCTTAGTAATTAATAAATGTGCCAACAAAATTTTAGAAAGGTCTTAGTACATGAAAGTGTTTGTAAACTTTGGAAGCTCATACATATTGAAACTTATTGCAAATACATAATATATCATGTACTTAGAACTGAATTTTATGTTGGTTCTTTCCCTAACTTTTTCATGTGTTGTATTCATCTAATGGATAATAAATTTTAATGAATATTTATTATTTGTAAAAATGCTTTTCAGTACTGTGATCATGTTGCAATAGTTTATTTTATCATGATATGAGTTTTTCTTATCTTAATTCTCAAAGAACTTGTAGAAGTCATTGCAAAAGTGAGAAATTCCCCCTTGTAAAACTGAAACCATTAATTTTCAGATTTTAAATAGTGTGATACTGAATTTTGTTTTAATGCCTGTCTGGGCTTCTTACAAGTGAGTTATGAAGGAATAATATATTTAGAACTAGTCTGTCTCTTTCAAAATGATAAATTTGTTTGAAGGTTTGACAGTTCATTTATGCCATGAAGTTGGTAGACCATGGAGTCTGTATATTTTGTCTAAGTGGCTCATGGTCTAAGAAAGTTGAGAGTACAGTATCACACAGAATTGGAAAGTAGAGAAGACTTGTGGAAGAGTTAGCTATTGAAATTAACCTTGTGAATGCTCTGAGAAATGAAATGCCCAGGCGTTTCCCACCCTGACACATAACCTGAGATTTTGTCTGTTATGATTTCCTTTGCTCTGTCTAGTTCAGGCCTGTGAGTGAATAATTCTTAAGTTTCTCTAAGTTGCTTTCATTCGTTTCATCATTAAGTGTTGATCGTGTCTTTTTTTGTTTTAAACCACTTTTCTCTTTCCTGCTCTTTTCTGTGTGTTGCTGTCTGGAGCTCATGTACTTGCTTGGTTGTGGTGTTTCTATACTTGGCTTCAGTGCTTGTTTGGACTCTCTGTCTGGTTTATGAACTCATGGTCATCTGGTGGGAGGTCTTCCTGGGGGTCCCATTTTTTCACATATATGCTCACATTATGCTCCCAACACTTGCATGCTTAGTTTGGAATGCTCATGTACACTGGACCACTGGGGCCCAGCTTAGGCTTGTGGGCAGCACGAGGGCCTCTTGCTTTCAACATAGATGCTTTGCCCTGAGCCAATTCTGGGGCCATTGTCTTCATTTTTTCCGATTAATTTTGCTGTAATGATAGGTGTACAGTTTGTTCTTTGTAATCTCTTATCACCTTTATCATTCATCACTACTTTGTGCTCTCCTTAGTTTCTGATAAGATAACTAATTGGAAATGTTATTTCCATATATGTTCCATTGTTCTTTTTATCAGTTGTGGACCACATAGAGGATGCTGTGTAACATAGGTTTATATTAGACTGTGCTGTTTAGATTAGTCCAGGTAAGCCCTGCGATGTTCATAGAATGATAAAGTCATCTGAATCATTTCTCAGAATGAATACTCATTGGTGAGAGGCCATGACTGGAATATGTTGATTTTTTTGCCTTCTGGATTTTTGCTTTCTGGATTCTATCTTTTTTTGTATTCCAGCAATCTTTTGACTATTTCCCATGGCAGTGTGTGCAAGTATGTTTTTTCAGTGTATTTTTCTTGCCTGGGATTTTCTGATTTTCACAAATCTCTAAATTCATGCTTTTTTGGTGGGTTAGTGGAAAAATTTAGCTGTTTCTTGGACTATTTTTTTCCATCACATTTCTTCTTCCCTTTTCCTTTAGTTACAAACATTAGGCTTCTTTTATTTTTTTATTTATTTTAAACATTGCCCCTCAGGTCTCTGCATACTGTTTATTTATTTGTTTTCCTTTCTTTCATTTAATTTCTCTTAATTGTACTTTGAGCTTTCACATTTATCTTCATTTTGCTGTTAATCCAGTGAATTATTTTTACTTTGTATATTTTTAGAACTACGCTTCTAGTTTTGTTCCATTTTGTCTATTTTTTTTCTGAAATTTCCTATCTTTGTGTTTATTATGAGCATGTGCTCCTTTGTATTTTTGAATGTGCTTAAGAGTTGAATGCTAATTCCAGTATCTGGATCATCTCTCTGCTAAGTGTATGGTTATAACTTTGTCTTCCATTATATTGCCCTGAGTGGTGGTGACTTTTTTAGACAGTTAATTTATAAGACTGAAATTGCAAACACTGTCTCTTAAGCAACTGCACACAACTCATCTTAGTTCTTTTTTCTTAACAGGACTATTTTGTGCATATGTTGGTTTAGGGGTGGTCAGAGATTTCGGAAGTCTTTGGAACTCTCCTTTTCTGAGTATTCTCCTTTCTGGAATTTTCCCAGTGTCATGTTGGCTTAATTACTGTAGCTGTAAATATAAACAATGGATTGCTTTAGATTGATAGCTCACTGCTGTTAGAAAAGAATTTTTTGTGTTGCTATCACTAAATCTTGACACTATGCTCGGCATTGTAATGGAAACTTTTCTTGATTTAGTCATTTGTACATATCCCCACCAACAAATGGTAACAACTCAACAACACTTTATCATGTCAAAACTATTAGTTTGTCTAGTGAGAAGAATATTTGATTGGGTGTCTGTGCATAAGATTTCTAGTTTTAGGTCAACCATTAATTGGCATTTTAGCTTAGAATCCTGAAATAAATTCTCTTCCCTTCCTTATTCATCAATTAAAAAGAAGAAAGTAAACATGTAGCATCCTTTCTGAGAGCCAAAATCTGTTTCTCTTTTAATTATTTTGGTACTAAGCAAAGTTAATTCTCTATATCCTCTACTTCTATTGATCATTCATTTTTGTGTTTTATTACCTTATACCATGACAGTAAACCATATTGTATTTATATCTGTAATTCCAGTGTATCATAGGCCATTTAGATAGCAGCTGACTTGGGTTCTATTGTGATACCACATGGGCCCCCAGCATCACCAGGTATAGTCTCAGGGGCCCCAAGCAATGCTGGGGTGGCCTAAATTTCCCTATACCCTGGGACCCTAGAAGCATGGTATTCTTGGACCCTAGCAGTGAAGTACTGGCCTGGTTGGCTGAGAATTATTGGTGGGGCCTCCTGAACCTCCCGAACGCTTCTTGGGAGGCTCCCCGAGGAAAGCAAAATGGGGCACTGAAAAGATAATGCACTTGCCTTATACACAGTCAAACCAAGTTTGATCCCCATCATCCCATAGAGTTTCCTGAGCCCCACCAGAAGTGATCCCTGAGTGCAGAGCCAGTAGTAAGCCCAAGGTACTGCTGGATGTGGGTGCCCAAAAAAAGAAAAAAATATATATTTAGGTAATAGCAATTATCTTTAACTTAATTTAATACTTTTAAATTTGTTAATTTCACATTAAAGTTGAATATTGAAATACATTTCAGCATTTAACATGCTAAATGACTAGTTTTATTGATAACTACTTTTATTCTAAATCAAATACTTTAGGTCTCATTTGTGCATATAGCTGAAGTTTTAAGCATTTCATAGGTAAAATTAAGTCATATATTAGTTCTTTAAACTTTCATGGGGAGTACATTTATTCAGGAAGGTCATTATTATAAGAACATTGATTCTTTGTTTTATATAATTCTTTTTTGAATTATGTTTTTTAAAAAATAATTTCCTAGTTTCCCAGTTTGGACAAACTGGCAGGCTACCGAATGTAACCTGCCCACACGGCAGAGTCTGGCAAACTCCCCGTGGCGTACCCAATATGCCAAATACCAGTAACAATGATGGGTCTCATTCTCGTAACTCTGAAAGAGCCTTGAATGTGGCACTTTTTAAAAAATCTCAGGGCTAGGACGAAGGAGACGTTACTGGGGCCTGCTCGAGGAAATCGACAAATAACAGGATGGTCGTGATTGTGATCGTGAATTTCCTATTACTGTTATATGATATAGGTATAGGTCTTCACTATTTCCAATTAAGTTATCTGTGGTAGGTTATTAGCTTTAAATCCTTTCAGTCATTAGAATAAAATGCTCTGTGGCCCTTGTATTACTTGCTCCATTGTTCAGCATCTTCAGTAATCTGTGTTCTTTGTACATTGTTATGTGAAACTAAAGGATTCTTAATTGGGGCAGGGAGAGAGATTGGGTCACACCCAGCTGTTCTGTGGGGCCTATTCCTGATTCTGTGTTCAGGGGAGGTCAACCTCCTTCTCATACCTTATCTCCTATACTTTCTCTGGCCCCTTAAGGAGTTTTTGCTTATTTGTTGATTATTTTTGAGTCTGTTATAGTATGAAAAAATATAAAGTGTCCACTTTATGAAAATAAGGTATTGTAATTTCACACACATTTTATCAATGTTAACAAAATTTTATTTGGTGTTTTTTATAGGTGACATTTGCAGACAGAAGAAGTAAAGTATCCAGGAGTTCATGCCAGCTTGTCTTTGTTACTTGGACTAGCTTAAGAATTTATCAGACCAGCTACCAAAATGAAAAGTAGTGTGGGACAGATAAAAGTAAGTGAAACTTAAAATGAGGAAAATAAACAATAAACTTGTCCTCAGTGACCAGTTCTTGGGGGCCCGCTTGAGCAAATCAATGAACAACAGGAGGATAGTGCTACAGTGCTATATAAAATATAATATAGTGAATGCAAAGTCATTATACAATTAGGGTGGTAGACCCAAACAATACACACACTACATGCATCTTATACAATTTCTAGTATGAACTCTTTACCAGATGGGAAGAATATTATGTAAGTAGGCAGTTAAGAGTCAGAGTGCATGTGTGTGTGCACAATCAAAGGAAAACTAACAGGGCAGGAAGTTATACTAATCTTATCAGAGAACAGTAAATGAAAGGCAGATATCTCCTTCCCTGTCAGCTCACTGTTCCTGCATATTTCATATGTATAAACAAGCTTTTTATTCTGTGCTGTATTTTAGGTATTTATATATATATATATATATATATATATATATATATTTGCTTATTCATCAAGTGCTCCCTTAATTCTTGGTATGGTCCAGTGATTCTTCTAAGTACTTCATTTACTGTAATGAATAAAATAGAAAGTTTTGTTTGTTTGTTTGATTTTGGGAGCTGGGGGTATCACACCTGGCAGTGCTTCAGACTTACTCCTGGCTCTGAGCTCAGGGATTGCTCCTGGTGGGGCTCAAAAGACCATATGGGGTGCTTGGGATCAAACATAGGTCGACTGCATGCAAGGCAAGTGCCTTACCCACTGTACTATCACTCTGATCCCACAAAATTAAATTCTTTAATGGATTTTTGCATTTCAGTAGGGGAGCATTAAGTATTAATTGCTTGATTTGTGATGCCTGAAGAAAAGAGATAGGGTGAGACAGATCAGTAGCCTTGGGAGGCTGTGGTTTTTCTTGGATTCTCATTGGGAAGGAAGTGATTTGAACACAGAGATATAGGAAACAAGGGAGATAAACCATGCAGATACCGGTGGAAAGAGCAAAGGGAATAACATGTGCTGAGGCAGAAAGTCTAATATTGCTTGAGCAAGTTAAGAGATGTAGATAGAGGTCAATGGAGTAAAAGCAGCCAGTATCTTCATCTGCTTTCAAAGCTTTCTCTGCCTGTATTTAACAGTAAAACAAATCATTCAGTTTCCTTTTCTTTCCAGCTGCATAGCTCTACAAGTCTGTACATGGTCCTTAGATCTACAAGCACACCTGCCACTCCTCTCTCCTATCAACCTTGACCATTAAACCTACAAAGCTGCTCTGTGTTGAATGCTTAATAAACTGAAAGAATCAACTTAAACTGAACAGGCATTGCTGTCATCTTTTCTAACCTCGCTAAATATGGAAAGACAATCTCTCTTATCCCCTCTAGGTAGATAGGCAGCCCATTACCTCTTTTACCTATTTTTGGCAGGGGACTCCACTGTCCAGAAATCCAGCCCAGTCTGTCAGTGGATGCTCCCATACATTCTGAATTCTGTTTCATTGGGACTTGTGATTAATCCACTGCCACTCAATCATGGGCTCAACAGGTGACAGACTCTCGTAGAAGCAAGGACATAAAGAGAAAGGAGACCCTGTGTAGGACTTATTCTCCACTGATCCATGTTATATCAGAACTCTCAAATTTAGACTGGTTCCTTTTATACCGAGGGAGAGCATTTAGTGTGTCTCATCTTTTTTCTTCTTACACTATACTTTGTCATGTTTCCCGCTTGTAGTCCTCATGGACTTTTGTGGTAACCTCCAGAATAAATATGGGTGCTACCGTCAAAATGCCATTGGCACTAAGTGGCTTCACCCTCCCAGTCATTTTCCACCATAGGCTAGCTGTCTTTGTCTAGCCCACTTACCATAGCAAGTCCACTAGCTGGGTTAGTGGACTTACCTCAGGTGAAGCTTGGAGACCTCATCTCATCTCATGTTCTTGAGATCCTCTCTCAGTTTTTGTTTTGGGGATTTTGTTTGTTTTGTTTGAGCCTTCCTGTAGCTGCTTTTTCTAGCTAGAAGAAAGTTCTCTGCCTCCTTTCCCTTTAACTTGAAGTTTTGTTCTAAAACTTGAAAATTTGTATGTTCCAAGTCTTTGCACTGAGACTCTCTGCCCCTTTTGCTTCCGATAGTGCTCTCCTTATGCTGTCAGACACTGCAGGTAACTCTACAGTGTGTCATATTTATTCTCTTAGGTTAAAATCTTAAAAGTTTATACATGGTATTTGACATTGTTATTTTTGACTGCTGCCTTGATTTAAAATTTAAATTCTGAAAAGGAAAGAAGAGAATTCACATTGCTTGGATTATACTTAAATAAATTTTTTACTTAGTAAATTTCTACTCATCTTTCACACCCCTATTCCACACCTCTTTCCCACAGCCATCTCTGTCTACTCTGTTCATGGTGACTGTTGCCTATTCAGGATCCTGTCACCCCTTGTTATGTGTGCCAGTCATTTGTTAGCTTGATTATATTTACAAAATCCTGATTCACGACTTCAATATTTTTGGTTTCTCTCTCTCTCTCATAACAGCTGTTGCGGAGATGTGTTAAAAATCATTAGCACAGAATTGAGGCCTTCTTCCTAATGTAATCAAAATAATTGTTGTGCCTTGTAAAAGAAAAGCAGTTAGAGTTTTTCTTCTCTCTTTCACAGGAATATCTCTCCTATAAAATTATAAGTTCCTTGAGAGTTCCTTTGCTTTTTATATTACAGTATCTGCACACACACTCTTAGTATCTTCCGATGAATGATATGTAAATACAGTATTTGATTTTATCATGAATTAAATGAATCTGTTTTATGTGCACATTAAGGGTGTTGTGTCAAGTTTTGGGGTTATTTTGTCTTTTTTTTTTTTTGTTCTTGGGCCACACCTGGCTGTGTTCAGGGCTTATTGCTGACTGTGCTCTGGAATCACTCCTGGGGGTGCTCAGGGGACTGATGAGATGCTGGGGTTAGAACTCTGATTGGCCACACGCAAGACAAGAGCCCTACCCACTGTACTGTCTCTTTGTATTGTGCCCATCTAAAGTTGTCCTGTAGGAACATTTCATACAGATTTGAGCAACCCCACTTAATGGTGTTACTAAGTTAAATGATTTTTAAAACTTTCATATATCGTTAGAAAGATTTTTAAATAGTTGCCCAAGTATAAGATAACAGCCATATTATGGCTCTGTAAATTATAAATTTTGATCACATTTTGATTCACCTACATAGATTAGTTAGCATATCCTGCCAAAAATTTCATAGGTAATGAGACTGTTTTGGCAATTGTGATGTTAGAACTCAAACTGTTGCTAATTAGTCATCAAATAAGGGAGTCAGTTCTTGTTTATATTTCCACACAGTATCATTTTCTATTCTTAAATATATCATTTTCTCATTAAGAAGGCAAGCGCATAAATATACAGAACCAATTACTCATTTATTTTGCTTAGATCTTGATTAAATTGCTTTTAAAAACATCTGTTTTCTTTTTATATAGTGCAGCTTATTAGAGCAGTTTTAAGTTTTAGAGCTTGTCAGTGTGAAGGAGTAGTGGTTGGAAAATTTTTTTTCTATAGAGATAAATATCTGACTCCCTGAAGGTATTTGTTTTTTGTTGTTGCTGAGCTTTGTGAGCACTTTATATCTTGAGGATTAGCCCTTTTTTGATGTATTTTGTGCAAATACTTTACTCAGTAGTATGTCTTTTTTATTTTCACCTAAATTTCTTTTGCTGTGTGAAATGTTTTAATTAGATGTAGTCTCATCTGTTTAGTTTTGGTTTTGTTTATTTTGGCCAATGGTCAAATCACTGAAGGCATCCCTGAGCAGATCCTGGAGCATTCTGCCTATAGTTTATGGACTTTGAATCTTGAGGTCTTCGGTCCACTCTGAGATAACATTCATACATGATATGAAATATGGGTACAGTATTTTTGCATGTGACTATCCAGTCAGTTTTTCCTGTATAATTTGTTGAAGAGGCTTTCATGCACCTAGGTCCTTTGTCATAGATTTGCATAGATTAGTGCTCCATAAATCTGAGGTTTTTCTCTGAGCTCTCTATGCTTTTCTATTGATTGAGAATCTGTCCTTACTTCATTACCAGTTTTGATCACTGTTATAGTTAGGAAATGCAGTGCTTCCTGCCATATCTACTCACTTTGTGCCCCCCCCCTTTTTTTATTTGGCCTTGGTTTTGGTTTTATGGTTCACACCCAGGGATGTTCAGGGTTTACTTCTAGCTCTGCATTCAGTATTCACTCCTGGTATTCTTGAGATACTGTGTGGTATGCTGGGGATCGAACCTGGGTTGCCATGTGCAAGGCAAGCACCCTAATAGCTATACTATCATTCTGACCCCTTTGTTGGCTTTTTTTTTTCTGAGAATTTAGATTGTTTTTGCAGATTGACCTTTGTTTTTTAAAGGAAGCCATTCAGTATTCTTTGCAGAGCTTGTTTGGATGCAATTTATCTTTATCTGTTTTTTGTGGGAAAATGTTTTTGTTTTGTAAAAAAAAAATGATTGAGATTTAGTGGTTACAATGCTATTAATAATGGTTTCTCAGGAACATAATTCAAACACCACACCAAAGAATGTTCTTATTAGTCCTTCAGATATCAGTAGTAACCTTGGAGGGCAAAGGATTATTCTTGGTTGAAGCTTCTTTTCATTTAATACTTTAAATTATATCATTCTTTTGGCAGTATAGTTTCATTTAAATGATTTGTTTTGAATTTCTTGTTGTTTCCCTTGTATTCAAGGCTTTGCTTTATCTTTTGCCGCTTTTCATATTCTCTGGTTCTTGCCATTCCAGTTGAACTATGTCTTGGTGTTTTGTTTTCAGTTTGTTTTGCTACTCTTCCTCCTGGATTAGTGCACTAGTCTCCCTTCTTAGACTAGGGAAATTGCTATTGCTTCTTTACTTGGAGTTAAACTGTTGCTCTCCAGTCGTCTTTGGTCAGCGTTGAGAGTTCTCATGTTCTTAGAGAACTCTCCTAGACTTCTGATCCTGGCTATTGAAGACTTGTCAGGAAATTTCTTCATTTTTTTCATTATCTCTGGTACTCTGGGTAGTAGGGATGAACACTGACTCCCAAGTGGTCTTACGCCAGTGATCTGGTGCCTTCTATTCACAGTAAAGTCCAGTAATAGAACTTAGGGCTCTCTTATGTTCTGGGAGCCACCACTGCCTTTTGAAGATTTCTTGGCAGGATCTGTAGGGGTGGAGCTAGGTCCCCAAAATCCAGCAGGCCTAGAGGAAGGACTGATGCCAGAAGTGCAACAATAATTCCGATGTTTTTTTGGAGGGGAGGGTGGGTGGCCAAAGTGTAGGATGTACCAGGAAACCCAAGGAAGGCTCTTGGTTACCTGGCAGTGGGACAGAACAGAATGCAACTGGACTGAGAGTCCTATCTGGAGAGGCGCTTAGGAACCCTAGATGTTATATATGGGGGAGGAGAGAGTGAGGCCAGCAGAGGCGCATCACTTATGCCTTATAACATAATTTTGAAATGCCTCATTCTCCTTTTTTTCTTCTTTGAAGCATTATTCTGAGAGAAGGGAGAACTATCATTCATACCAGAGAAATTCATCTCCTGAAGACAGGTAAACAGTTTTATGTATTCCAAATGCAATTTTCAGGTTTTCAATTAAATTTAAGAAGTAATTTAGCTCTAGAGTTCTAACTTTAGACTGAACAGTATAACTTCTTCTAGATGATAATGTTATCTAGGACAAGTCATCTTAGAAATTTCTTTGTTCTAAGAGTTTCTAATAAGCCCAGATGTTTATAATTGAGGTAACAATGACTTACAATACTGTAAATGTTTGTGTTTTAGGCATAAAATGTAATAGTTCCATATTTTATGTAGTTTTTAGGTGAAAGCGTAATTTGAATAAATAGTGAAGAATAAAAGCTTATGTACCATGTATAAATAGGAATAACGTAATTTTATTTGTGTGTATTTGTATATGGGCTGGAGAGATAGCACAGCAGGTAGGGCGTTTGCCTTGCACGCAGCCAAATGGCCGACCCGAGTTCAATTCCTCCGTCCCTCTCGGAGAGCCCGGCAAGCTACCGAGGGTATCTCTCACTCACAGCAAAACCTGGCAAGCTACCTGTGACATATTCGATATGCCAAAACACAGTAACAATTGTCACAGTGGAGACGTTACTGGGCCCGTTCGAGTAAATCGATGAACAACGGGAAGACAGTGACAGTGACAGTATTTGTGTATATATTTAACCTAAGATTTTATAATTTTCTGACTTTTAAAAAAATTCCAAGAGTAACCTTACACTCTGTATTGCTAATAATCTTAATCATTATCCCTGCTATCCAGTAATCACTTTGAAGAGTAACAACTGATGAAAATAGCCTTTGGAGTGGAATTAAGCTCATCTTTATTGAGGTCAACCAGTGACTCTCGTCTTACTTGTTCAGTGCTTTGATAAAGTGAGCCCATTAAGTAAAAGTGCCATTTTCAGGATTGCCTTTTTTATACTCACATTCAGACATATATTTTTTATCAAGGGTTGCGAATCAGTATAAGTTTAGTTAAGTGACTTTTAGGGAGTGTATTTTTTGTACAAGATGAAATCTTTTATATAGTCATTACTAAATAGATAGTAGCATTACCAATACATGACTATGACATGGTTGTTTTTAGCTTATAACTTGAGTTTTCTTATGTGTTAGATATGCAGATCAAGAACGATCCCCTCGGGATAGAGATTACTTTGATTATAGATCAGATTATGAACGTTCAAGAAGAGGACGTTCTTATGATGGCAGCATGGAATCACGGTTAGTATTTGAAATTCTAACAGAAAAATGAAGGTTTTATAGGTTTCATTTGTGTTTTATAATAAAACCAGCAATAATAGCAGCTAGCAGTTATGGGATGTTTGTAAGTGTCAGACTTTATAATCAGGAATTTATTTGACTTAATTATTGCAGTAAGTATATTAAGTTGATACTCTGTCATTGTTTTTACATTGGAATTGTAAAATATTTGAATATACTTCCAAGTCTTGGTCTATCTAATGTTTAGCCCAACATCTTATTCTTCATACTATACTGCTGAGGAGTTAGCTTAAGTGACAATTTTAGAACCATTCCTGAATGAAAGTCGTTATATTTTCTTGCATGGTAGCAGGTAGAGAGACATTAAGAGTGAATTACCTATCTCTAATCTTTATCTAAATACAATTCTTGTTTAAACTTGTTACATTGTATCAAAAACTTTGTTCTTAGAGTTTTATGTATATTTTTTGATCTTTCTCCCAGCATCCATTCTGTAACTACCAAGACTAACTCCGTCACTGGAAATTTTTATTAAATTTCGTGGCAGTTTGGCATTAAGAACATTACTTGATACCTGTAGCCAAAAATTCCTTGTCACTCCATACCTTCTAAGTACATAAAGTGTCAGATTTAATTAATCTCCAAATGCCAGTCTCATCTGCTTTCACTTTAGTACACCTTCATGAAAAGAATTATTTCCACCATAATTGTGAGCTACACATATTACATATGATGTTCCCTAACACTGTCAGAATCCATGGAAATTGATAGTTTCTCCCAGTTTATGAATAAGAAAATATGTTTGAAATTACTAAATTATGTTTCTGAGAGTGTAGGTTTCTATCCCTATTGCAGAGATGAAAAGAAAATAACAACTAATATATGAATTCAATTTTGACTCCAAGTCTCATTCTTTTCCCATAATTTCTAGCAGTGTTCTTCTTTGTAATTCTGTTTTATCCAGTGTATGTCTCATTTAATTTGCACAGCCACACTGTGAAATAAGTATCCTGTATGGTGTGCAGAATATAATGACTAGCAGTCTAAAAGCATCTGCAAATAGATATGTCTATTCCATTTCAAAGAAAGCTCTGTCACTTCTACACTCTGACGGATCAAACACTGTAATTGTAAGGACAACATTTTATTAGCCACCAAGCTCTCGTACCTGGTGATTCTCAGAGGAATCATAACCAAAGTCAATAAATCCCTGCTGAGATTACTCTCTTGGAACATGTTGCATTCATAATAAGAAGCAACTCATTTGTAAATCAGTGCCTTGAATCGAATCGTGAGTCCCTGCCTCTGTGACTGTGGTTTCCGTTTGTAGACACTCCCCCCTCCCCCCCCCCCGCCCCATTCATCTGCTGCGTATACATTTGGGAAGTTTTCTCTGTATATGTAGATTGTATTACTATATATTAAGACAGATTCTCTCAGACATGCCTTTTAAATTTAGCCAAAATTCACCCAGTGGTTTTCTGGTAACAGTGATAATATAAAATTGATTTTAATAGTTGTTGTGCATATAACTTAAGGTTTCATAAAGCATGAGCTGAGTAATCTTGTTTCCAAAGCAGTATATATCAAAATCACTTAAGGAAACAGTTTATCTTTGGGGAAGTAAGAGCAAAAAAGCAAAGATAAAATGTTTCCTGTTTATTCTTGCTACTTTCAAATAAAAATATCTTGATTATTGAAAGTGTAAGAAAGGATACTTTCACACGATTAGGGAAGATTAGGACTAGAAAATGGTTGGTTTTTTACTTTTAAAAAATTGTAAACATTGTCTCAACCAGAATCTTCTGATATTTCCAATGAGAGTGTCAGTTTTGTCAAAAAAAAAAATAGTTCTGTTACATTTTTTTGATCTTACTTCTAAATCAAGTTTATTGGCGATAAAATGATTTTTCCTTTGTATAGTTTAGGACATATATCACAGGCCACTTTATCTTAGAAAACTATTTTGATAGTGCTATTTTTACCTAAATTATTATTAATGATTTTGCATCTCAAAGACTAACTCATACTGTTCTTTACAACTACTGCTTTACGTGATTCTTTACTATTTCCTTATTATTCTACTCATTTGGTCCCAATACTTTTCCTCAGTTTTTCATAGTTATTCTCTTAATTGCAAAATTTCACCTCCCTTTTTCTATTTCCCTGTTTCTTTGCCTGTCACCCATCTCTCCTTTATATAAATTCTGTCAAGGCTTGTGGATCTAGTTTGTTACATTTTCTCTGTGTGACATTTTCTCGCAATTCCAAATCCTGTCTGAATTTGTGGGGCTGATTATTTTCTCATTTATTTAGTATAAAGTTCGTTTAAGGATGAGTTTCATATCATCTATTTAATCAAGAATAATTAAATTACAGAAGCAGGGACCGAGAAAAACGCAGAGAAAGAGAAAGAGATGCTGATCGGAAACGGTCCCGGAGAACCCCATCTCCTTCAAGAAGAAGCCCAGAATCATCGCTGACCCACAGTTCCTCTGCTCAGGATGAACCTAGTGCGAAGAAAAAGAAAGATGAACTGGATCCTCTCCTTACTCGTACAGGCGGAGCATATATTCCTCCTGCAAAGCTCAGAATGATGCAGGAGCAGATTACAGATAAGAACAGGCATGTCAATATAATATATATAAGTAGTGATACCCTCACTGGGAAAGAAACAGTCACTTATGATATAATTAACTTCAGTTGTTGAGAATTTACTTGAATACATAAGAGATGTCACTTTGGACCTCTTTTGTTCTTCGGTTCACGAACTCAAGCTTTGCATACTGTTTCTATGACTATATGCATATATAGTGTATGTATATGAATATATGCACATGTATATATATATGCACAAGCAAACTATCGTTCCATAGTTGTATGCATAGGTATTATTTTTCATAAATTATCAAGAGTTCTAATTTGCTATTAAAGGCCCAAGATAGAACTTTCCAAGTATACCAAACCAAGAATTAGCAACATTTTTTGGTAGGGGATTGGACAGTAGGGAGTGGGGCTACACATGACTCGGGATATTCCTGTCACTGCACTCAGGAATTACTCCTGGGGTGCCTGGTGGATCATATGGGGTGCTGGAGATTAGTCAGTCATGTGCAAGGCAAATGCCCTAGTGCTGTGCTATTCTCTGGCCCCTAGCAAAAGAAAAAAATTTTAAACAAAAGATCAGATGGTATTTTAAACCTTGCGCATTTTTTTTGTATCTGTTGCAGCACTTGAACTTCACTTGGTATTACAAATATAGTCATAAATATGATGTAAACAAATGAGTGCAGCTATATTCTTATAAAGCTTTCTTTTTTTTCGTTCTAATTTTCATTAAAACACCATGATTTACAAAGTTGTTCATAATAGAGTTACTTCAGGCATACAGTGTTCCAGTATTAAACCCCCAACAGTGTCCCCACACTCCACCAATGTCCCAGGTTCCTCCCCACCCCACAACCCCTTAGCAGGTATATACAAAAAAGTATTTAAAGTCACTAGGTCCAACAAAATGTAAAGAATTGGCAAGTGGAATTATTAGAAAATAAATCAGTAGAAGTCAGTTTGTGATAATTGATTGCTAAATGATTTTGACCACTATATTAAGACATTGCTATAAAATCTCTTAGCAAGAGAGGAGTAAACATACCCTTCTTAATCTAGTAGGAGGCAACCATATTTACCATTGCCATGCTCAGTGCCACACGTTGGGCAGTTTTTCCTATCCTTTAGAAAATATAAAGCTTTAATTAAGAAAACAGGTTATCGGCTTCATTTAGCTTTTGGTTATATGGAATTAAATTGGCTTTTTCCCCATTCTCTTCATAAACCAGAGCATCTTAGTAATTTTTTTGCTGCATTCACACAGTTTTCAATATAGAAACATTTATGCTCGCATTTCTTTCTTTTCTCAGAATAAGTGCAATAGTGAGAAGCTCTGTAGAAAAGTACAACTAAATCTTTAAGACGTTCTCTAGTAGAATGAGTTAACTAGGAAAAGTATGGCTTAAGAGTGAAATAGTCATTAAATTGCTAGTTTTGTAAAATTTAGCATAGTGGGTAGTTTAAAAGAAATGATTCCAAGTGAGCCAAGAAAAAGTATTCTTACACCTTGCTTTAACATTTTAATTACAACTTTGAAATATTTGAGAACCTTATATAAATGAAATCAAAATTCATCTCAAGAATTGACTTGAAGTAGAACTATCATTTACATAAAACAAAATACAAAGATGTGAAGTAAAATGAAAAATTTATGAGCTGGAATGGAATATGAAATTAAATTTAAAATTTCTAAATTTATCTTGATGTATCATATTCCAGTTCTTAGGGGGATGCTTAGAGTGTTGGGTGAGAATGGACTGCAGATGGATTCTGATATTAGTAAGAACTTTATGGGAACATAGACATTCTGCTGTTGGGAGTAATAGGATCAGCGTTAGAGATGTGAACACTTTCTTCAGTACAGCCCAAAGCCATCCTAATTATAAAGGGGAAAAAAAATTATTGATGGGAGTCTTGCTTTCTAAAAAATAGGACAGGCAGAGGAGAACCCGTGGTATATGCAGTCGTAAAGAAATTCCTGGAATATAGCTTTATTAATAATTGACATCTATTCATAGACACTAAAGGGCACAAGGAAAAGTTGAAGTCCCTAGACGTCTAAGTAGTCTCTGTTCAGTAGAATCAGGTGAATTGTAAGCATGTGAATTATGCCTGACTTAAGTATATCAGTCCTTTGATAACTTTGATAAAGGTTTAATAGGACAGGCTGAGGGTTGCAGTTTTTTTTTTTTATCAGTAGTATCTTATTGAATATTTGGCTATTCAAAGGAAAAAATGAAATCATGAAATTTGCATCAATATGGATGGATCTGGAGAGTATCATGCTGAGTGAAATCAGGAGAGGGATAGACACAGAATGATCTCTCATTTTCGGGTTGTGAATGGGGAAAAACGTATGCCCAAATGCAACAGAAAATGATGACTTGTCTTCAGTCAGAAGCTTGGGGCAGAATAGGATAGAGATGATGAGAACACTACTGTGATAGTAGAAAGAAGTCTTCTCATGGCCTTGTTACAGGTCTGTAGGTATTCTAAGGAAAGTACTAAGAGAAGCGGACACCTAGGTAGAGGGTGTGGTATTGGCATAGTTTGTGTATGAAATCCAATTGACAGTTTGTAAATTGTGGTCCTCCTCCTGCCCCAAACAAGAGAAAAACTTACACTTCTCTAGCTTTCATAGCATACCAAAGGATTGGATTTGAGGGGCAGAAGGAGGCGTCTGCTTCAGGTTCAGGTAGTAAGAGGGAGTACATGGTCTACCTCAAATTTAGAAACACTAAAAAGATTAACTGCAAGTCAGTTCTCTTGTGTCCATGCTCAGGGCTTGCTCTGGGCTCTGAACTCAGTGACCACCTGGCAGTGCTGCAGACCATATGGGTTTCGGGGAATCTACTGGGTTGACTTTAAGGCACTTGCCTTGTCCATTGTCCTGTCTCTCAGCACTTTCCTTAGAATACCATTCAGAATAGAGATCTTTAATCTACAGACCTTTAACAGAGTCATGAAAAGACTTCAGGCATTCTGCTAACCTGAGGTATAGGGGCAGGGAAAGATGCATCTTTACTGCCACTAATCTGAAGTTTAGCATTTCTTTCTACTGGGAATCTAGGCAGCAGATAATAGTTAAGCAGACTATCGTTGGAAATGTACTTTATGCTATGTTACTTGGAAGTGACGGATGCTATTACATGTACTGGCACTTCTGTCATTTAATGTTTTAAGAAGTACATTGCATACAATATCGAACTTTTTTCTGTGTTTTAAAAATAACAATATTTTGATATGATTGCTATAATCCTATATATTTGCTTATATTATTCCAAAATACTCAGTTTCACCAGACTTCCACAAGAATATATGAAAGAAAAGAAGTTCCGATTTCCCACAGCTGACAGCATATTCCAGAGAGAAATAATTATATAAACCATAGAATTTTGTAGCTTTAGACATTGTGTTTAACCTCAGGAAATACAATTTAACTTTTTAATTTAATGCGAGATGTTTTTTAAAAGAAAAGCAGCCTGGTAATAAAACATTTAGTTGATACAGCAGAGCGACTACTATCTATGTTTTTTGTTTTTGTTTTCTTAGGCACTATAATTTTAGCAGAGGCTGGACCAGAGAGATTGTATAGTGGGTAGGGCGCTTGTCTTACCCAGGTTGGATCCTGGCACAGCGTGTCGTCCCCTGAGTAGTACCAGGTGTAGCACCAAAACAGAAAAATAGAATGGTCTATTAGCCCCATTACTTAGTATGACTCTTTTTTTCCTGTCATCACTGCCATTTCTGTTTAATTTTTCCTCTATCGTGCTTTTATGAGATAGGAACACAATGAAATTTTCCTTTTTATGGTTTATATTTGATTACTTTAAGACAAGTTTGAGTAAACAAACCATTTTAAGGTAATTGATGTGAAATCTGAATAATAAATGTGCTTTGCAGTCTATCCTTTCAGAAACATCAAACTCTCAGAGGGATGCAATCTCTACATAAATATCTCATGTATACAAATTAACTGTCACTATCACCCCGTTGTTCATCGATTTGCTCGAGTGGGCACTAGTAACATCTCCATTTGTCCCTGTCACGTTCTAGTGTAGCCCGATGGCATATCGGGGGCTCTTTCAGGGTCAGGGAAATGAGGACCATCATTTTACTGTTTTTGACATATTGAGTATGCCACGGGTAGCTTGCCAGGCTCTGCTGTGTGGTATATAGTAAAAATATTAACTGTATTTCAGATATTATTTGTAAGGTAAAGGCCCTCCCGTTGATCGTCGATTTGCTCGAGCGGGCCCAGTAACGTCTCCATTGGAGACTCTGTTGTTACTGTGTCTGGCATTTTACTACACTTGGGGTCATTTTATAAGTTGTTAAAAATAATTTTTTATATTTTCTTATTTTAACCTATTGTAATTATTGAGTAAATTTCAATCTTTTTTAAAATTATTTTTTTTAGCTTGGCCTACCAGAGGATGAGCTGGGAAGCCTTAAAGAAGTCAATCAATGGTCTCATCAACAAAGTCAACATTTCTAATATAGGTATTATTATTCAAGAACTTCTGCAAGAAAATATAGTTAGAGGAAGGTAAGCATCAGTTGTTTTTTATACGTAGCACTTCAGAGGAGTTTTTCAAAGGAACGTATCTTTATTGATCCTTTATTGTACTTCATCTTGAAGATAGTTAAGAATGTATATTTAAAGTCCAGTTCTCATAAAAATGTAAATTAGGGCCAGAGAGATAGTGTATGGGATACATCACAACAGAAAAATTGCAAACTACCCAATAAATAATTTATACTTCACTATTTGAAATTATATAGCATTTTTCCCTTTTAAAGAACTTAATGTCCCGAAATGATTTTTAAAGTCATTTGTTGACTGAATAGTTTCGGTGATTAAACTCACAGTGAATAATTATTATGTATGTTACCTCCAACCACTTTAATTACTAATGAAAGAAAAGTAAAGACTATGAAAGAAATGAGCACGGTCAGCATTAAATTTTAGAAATGCAGTAGAAAAAGACTCAGCATTTTCCGTGATGCCGTTGGTGTTACATAGAAAATATTGTCTTTTCTGTTAACTATTTTAAGATCTAATGGTTGATATTTCGGATCACCCTGATTCTTCAACTCAAAAAACACTGGATGACTGAAACTCAATCATGAAAGTTTTGTAACTCTATCTCACTGTGATTCAATTAAATAAAAAAAAAAATCAAGAATAGAAAATTGATGAAAAGGTAGCCATTGAGTTGTTAGGGTGACCTCACCTCTTACACGAAAGAAGTCCTATCAGCTGTTTTAAGATCTTACATTGGGTTCTCTTTTTCTCATTTTCTACTCTAGTGATTCAGTTGCCTAATTGTTTTCTTGCCTTTGACAATCCAATAATGACTTGTTATTACATTACTAAAAATAACTCCTCAGTTCACTTTGCATTTTTCCTCTTACCAAATGCATATAGAAATGAGTTAGAAGTACATTCTTTTATTTTCTAGCATTGTTTTAGTGTTATTCTTCATTGTTCGATTGTACCTATCATAGGAATATTAAAAATGTTCATTTCAGTAAAATGAGGCTTAAAAGTGGAAGCTATTCAACTGTCTTTAATCACAGAAGTAATTTTATATAAATTTTATATAAATGATAAACCTCTCAAATTTTTAGTATTCCTGAAGCAGAATTCTTTCATTCACACTTTTATAATATTAAATAGAATCTTTCTAAGAAGTTTTAAGAACTCAGTCATGATTAGATACAACAAACAATAGGAAAAATAAGATTATATGCAAAAAAGTTTTGAACAAAAATTAGAATAAAATTTTTTCTGTCTTATGAAAGTACAAATCAAAAGTTCATTCCCCACTCAACAGATTTATTAGTAAAACAACCAATTCTACTTTATTATGGATTTTTAAGCTTTTTTCCACAGTGACTCCTTTTTATCCAAGAAATTTTTATGGGACCCTGGGTATTATATAAATGAGGTATATAAATCAAACATTTAATAACAAATCATAAATCTATTTTAAAGCAATTTTTAAACATTTTTAGTGGCTCCATTTTTCAGTTATACACTCTTATGTCAAGTTGTGACCCACAATTTTAAGATGCTACACCCTAGATAATGTGGTAAAAGTTTAATTTTAATTTAGCTTTTGTGATTATTACAGAGGACTAATATTGCTGGATTTTTAATGCCCAAAAGCAGATTTTAAAGGTTTCTGCTTTTTTTTTTTTCTTTCAACAGGGGCCTTCTCTCCAGATCTGTTTTGCAAGCCCAGAGTGCTTCTCCAATCTTCACCCATGTTTATGCAGCATTGGTTGCAATTATAAATTCCAAATTTCCACAAATTGGAGAATTAATCCTCAAGAGATTAATTCTTAACTTTCGAAAAGGCTATCGAAGAAATGATAAGGTACACAGAATAAACTTGAGTAGACTGTCACAGGGGATAGACTAATAATCTGGTATCAACAATTAATGAAGAGGATTGTTGCTATACTCGTAGGATCACAAATCATCCTGTTATTCGTCGATTGCCTCGAGCAGGCCCCAGTAACGTCTCCTTCATCCTAGCCCTGAGATTATATTCAAGGCTCTTTAGGAGAATGAGGCCCATCATTGTTACTGGTATTTGGCATATTGGGTTTGCCACGGGGAGTTTGCCAGACTTTGCTGTGTGGGCAGACTACATTCGGTAACCTGCCAGTTTGTCCAAAGTAGGAATGAGATAATAAGATGTCATAATAAGATGTCATAATAAGATGTCGCGCAGCCGTGAATGCGGCTGTGCGGTTCCAGGAGCTGGTTTTTATAGTCTCTGAGTCTTGGCCGTTGATGGGATTACACGGCGCCAGGGGGCCAGTTGGTGGGGGTGACCCTCGCCTACTGGAATTTGGAGGATCTGGGTGGAGGATGCTCAGCCCAAATCCGAGTAGGCTTGGAGATCTCGGCCCCGGAACCTGCGTGACTTTGTCCCTCTGCCAGTACCTTCATGTGTGCGGAGAGTGGTCTCAGCATGGTGGTGACTGGTCCTGGAGGTCTTCTGCTGCCGGAGCCCTGGTCGGGGCGGGGAGGAAAGCTCAACCCGCTCCCCTCCAAGGGGCCCCAGCAGCGAGGACAGTCAGGCGCGGGGGCAGGAGACTGCACTGTTCTCTTCCTGGAGCTGGTTTTTATAGTCTCTGAGTCTTGGCCGTTGATGGGATTACAAGGCGCCAGGGGGCCAGTTGGTGGGTGTGACCCCCGCCTACTGGAATTTGGAGGATCTGGGTGGAGGACCCGTAGGATATATTTTAAAAATTATCATAGGAATATTTTGTGCGATTAAATAATATGAATCACAAAAGTTAAGTGTGTAAGCTGTAGAATTAAAGCTAGCTAAAAATGACATGTCTTTTATTTTATAACTTAGAATATAAAAATTATTCTTTTTGCATATTTTAAAATATTATGTAAGTAATCCAGGCGTTCTATAGATAAATGAAAATTGGTTTTATTGTTAAAAATTCAACATTTTTCCTACCATTGTTTTTCAGCAACTTTGTCTGACTGCTTCAAAATTTGTGGCACATCTTATTAACCAGAATGTGGTAAGTAATTATCTACAAAATTAAGTGGTTTGATATCTTGATGCTACTTCAGTGATATGTCTATTTTAGTTTATTATCTCTTAGGAGAGTAGTGAATAATATTTAGCTTTTTTAAACAATAAAGAGTACATTCTTAAATATTAAGAAAAACCAGAACAAGGTATTTTTTTTAATCAAATTGATCTGACCACGTGGTTACTTAACAGCAAATTACTCCTACAAAGAATGTAATTGTTTTTTTTGAATAAGAGCATATCTCTTCCACTGCTTTTCTATGTATCATTTGTTAATAGGAATCTAATAATATCTTGATATCCAGCTAAAATCTGTTTCTCATAGTCTTAAAGATACACAGTAAGGTAGCAACAACAGGTCAGAGGCAACACAGCAGAACTGATGCAAACGATTGAGTTAATGCATCAACTAAGTGAGGGGGGTATTCCTTGTGGGAGGGAGGTGGTTACTCTGGTGATGGGTGTGGTGATCAAAATATGTTTGGTAAACTATTAATAGTACCGTAAATCATAGAATTTTGATCAAAATAAAAAATCACATAAATTTCCCAAAAGGAGAGAGAGAACAGAGGGGAATGCCCTGCCACAGAGGCGGGGGGGATGGGGGTGGGAGGGATACTGGGATCGGTGGTGGTGGTAAATGGGCACTGGTGGGGAGGGATGGGTCTTTGATCATTGTATAATTGAAACCAAAGCACAAAAATTTGTAAGTCTACAACTGTACCTCATGGTGTCTCACTAATAAAAATTAAAAAAAAAATCACATAAATTAAAAAAAAATTTTTCCACATCTAAAAATGATAGAGAACATCTGTCGAATCAGCTTATGAAATATAAAATGTTGTTATTGAACTTCAGATGCAAATGTATTTTTCATTCATTTTTTGTGTTTATTTTGTGTTAATGTATTTGTGTTTTAGATTTAACTCCTGCTTAAACCTAAGATGGTGAATTTCTTTATATCTTTATAAATATAAATATCTTTATATTTCTTTAAAAATTTTCTTTTACATATATATTATCATGATTAACTATAGTTACATATGAAGAAGAGTTTTGAAGTTATTACTTTAAGTAAATTATTCTTTTCTATGTGAAATTTATTCTAATGTTTACCCTTAAAAATTTTTAAATTTAACTCAGTTATATTGCATATTATGGATTTGCCAGGTCCATGGAAACAGTTTCACATTTTTGTAAGCAGCACAGATGTTTCAGTGGTTTTTGAATGTATATTATACTTATATTGGAAATTTTGGCATTGTTGCAAAATAATAAAAATGGTAACTGTTAAGATCATCTCAACTGTGACAGAGGGTGATATTTTCTTCTCACTAATCAAACACTAATCTTCCATTCAAAATAAAAAGTAGATGTACATTTGATGTTGTGTTCAGTGTAAAAAGATATTTTCCGGAGTTGAGAGTTAAATACTTTTCCTCTCCATCCCAGAAAAGGTAGGCGTATGGTGTTTTGAACATATTTCTCAATCCATTAATTTTTTCAAAGTATAGCTTCTCAGAAATTATTTGTACTCCACCTGGTATTGTTTATAAATTAATTTTTGCACAGTCAGTATAATTTAATGAAGAAAAAATTAGGAGTTTTAAAACTGTCATTATGCATCAGGAACTTTTTGAAAATATTTTTATTTGATTGGAGAGATATTTACTAGTTTCTGATAAAATTAATTGGAAAATGGATATCAAGTTGTGATGATGAGAAGAGGATGATATGAAAAGAATCCTATTAGTGAGCCAGAAAGATATTTTAGTGGACTGAGCACATTCTTTGCATACAGGAGTCTAAGGTTTGACCCCTGGTCCTGCATGTCCCCTTCAGCAGAGCAGTCTCAGAATTAGCCCCTGAACAGCACTGGATTTGGCCCAAAACTACCAAAAAGTAAGCCATTGCTATTCATATAGTGATTCTAAAAGTAGCTCAGAACACAAATTAGTATATTTTTTAATTTGTATTTTGACACTAAGTTGGCATTTCCTACAAATAAAGTATCTTCCTCATCTGTAATGAAGAAGAAGAATATTTTTTCTGGCAATATTTTGGTCACTCTAGTGTAATTAAGATTTTTTTTGATAATCATCTGGAAATCCTTGAAAGATGTATACTGAAAGTAGAAAAAAAGTCGCATGTCATTTGTACTAGTTTTTTTTGTGTGTGTGTGTATGAAACATGTATAATATGACTAAAACTTCAAAGATTAACTCAGTATTAGGTAAAATATTTCCTCTTTATGCCTTCTTTCTGTTTAAGGCACATGAAGTTTTATGCTTAGAGATGCTTACTTTGCTCTTGGAAAGACCAACAGATGATAGTGTTGAAGTGGCTATTGGTTTTCTCAAAGAATGTGGCCTCAAATTAACCCAGGTGTCACCAAGGGGAATCAATGGTAAGTTGATTCATCAACAAACATCATCGGTTTGATATTGAGCTCTCATTTCTGTGTTATAGTATTATTGCTTATTGTCTTTTTTTCTGTTTAATTTAAAGCTATATTTGAACGCCTTCGAAATATTCTCCATGAATCTGAAATTGACAAAAGAGTTCAGTATATGATTGAAGTGATGTTTGCTGTACGGAAAGATGGATTCAAGGACCATCCAGTTATCCTTGAAGGACTTGATTTAGTAGAAGAGGATGATCAATTCACCCACATGCTCCCTCTGGAGGATGACTATAATCCAGAAGATGTTCTTAGTAAGTCAGAGGATAGGGGTGGGAAATAGGATAAGATCAAATGTAAATATAGAAAATTAACACAGATTTGTTTTTATCAAGTGTAATTAAGGACACTATGATTTACAAAGTTTTTTTTTTTATAATACCGTTGTTTCAAGCATTTAAGTGTTCCAGCACCACCAGTGTGATCTTCCCTCCCCTAATATCCCCAGTTTCCCTCCCAATCCCAACCTCCCCCTCTTAGGCTATTAACAAATTTACTTTCTATTGCTTATTCCAACAAAACTTTAGAAATGGCTAGTAGAATGATCAGAAAATAAATCAGTAAGAACCAATTTGTGATTGTATATGATTGGCCTATGTAACTAAGAAAATTAAAACCATTTACTATAATATAACAAAATGCATATTGTCATTTACGTATATAAGTTTTCAACTCTGGAATCTAAAATATATTGAATTGAATTTTATATTTGAACCTCATGGTAATAATTATGGCTTACCTGTCAATAATAAAACTTTTAAAGTAGTTCTGTGTTAATATATTTTAGAGTTTACATGGAATAGTAAGGCCTGTATATGTAAATTTTTCCCTTACACTTTATATAAATTCTGTGGTTTACAAAGTTACAATCCAGTACCAATCCCAACACCATTACACCTTTCTCCACCATTGTGTCCAATTTTCCCAACCACTCCTTAACAAGGCCCCCATAACAGGCCCTCAGTAATTTATTCTGTATTGCTTGTTATCAATAATTTACTAACAGAATGATCAAAAACTGTTTCCTTAGAAGAAAATTAGTGTAAACTGTTGTATCTCACCATGGAATCATTAAGTCCTTATGTGAGAGATTAAACCTTCTGTGTTTATGTTTTGTTAATTGAGATTCGTTGCCATCTATGTTACATCCCATCCAATCTGGTGTGCCACTATTGGATTATCAGTGTTCTAGAGATTGAGATGCCGTGTGGCGCTTTTGCCCCGTGGAGTCCAAAATTTCTAAGGGAGTGATATAGCTGGAGTTAAAATTTTAACTCGGTGGTAGCTTTGGCATATGACTGTTAGTGCTGGGGCTTCTGGAAGTACATGGAGATCGGGGGAGGTAGCCCATCCTGACTCCAAGAAATCCTGGAGATTTCAGTCACAAAACCTGCATACCTGAAATTTACAGCGGCTCATTTTCTGGGTCTCATTCTCCTAAAGAGCCTTGAATATAATCTCAGGGCTAGGATGAAGGAGACGTTACTGGGGCCTGCTCGAGGCAATCGACGAATAACAGGATGATTTGTGATTGTGATTTTCTGCATTAGGTTTGGTCTCGAGAAAGTGGACACCTGGCCAGGGGCATGGTGGCAATTTTGGAATGTTGAAGCAAGCAGCTGCTGGTGCTCTGTTTGGAAAAATAGATTTTTTAAAAAAATTATTTTTGGTTTTTGGCCATATCTGTAAGTGCTCCAGAGCTTATTCTTGGCTCTGTATTTAGGGATTACTTCGGGTAGGTGAAGGGGATCATATAGGTTGTTGGTGAACAAGTCCAGATTGGCTATATGCGAGGCTTAGTCCTTAACCAGCCCCTAATTGCGAACTTCAATTTTTCCTTTTACAGATGTTTTCAAGATGGATCCCAGTTTTATGGAGAATGAAGAAAAATACAAAGCCATAAAGAAGGGTATGTGGAATTTTTAAAAGAGATTTATCTTCAATAAGTAGAACAATTTATATATTTGTATTTTACTAATAGAGATATATAGGTCTCTGAGTCATACCTAATGAAATCTCTGCTCTTATGAGGCCATTTTCTTCACTGCTGCGTTGTGAATTATATTTGTGTCTAGTTCTTATCTATGGTACTACTTCATTATAAATGATGACTTAATTATTCCTTTCTTCTGCCTAAATTATGCAACCTTTAAGTCTTGTCCTGTTAAGAAATGATCATTTATTTCTAGTGGCCTTTATTTAGCTTCACTGCTGCTAAGAATTACTATTTAAATTGCCACCCAATTTAATATTAATTTAAGTACTATATTTTCTTAAAGGCAGGTTTTGGTGTCTTGAAGCATCAATCAATGCTGAATACTGTATGTTGTGCTTAATAAATTGATAAATTGATTATCTTTCACGTATCACTAGGTATTATATGCACTAACTTTGAACAGATTTTAGTATTTTGTCCTTTCCGTTTATTGCTAAGTGACCTCGAACAAGTTATTTATTTGCTGAAAGGATTGTGGATACTTTTTTGTTTTCAGATAAAATTTAAAAAAATATTTATACAATGATAATTTATTTTTTATATGTTTATCATTTTCTAAATATTTTTACTTGTATAGTTACAAGTTAATTTTCTTTTGTTTTGATTTTACCTAAAGACTACTACTCGTAATCTCATAATTATTGTATATCACCTAGGAGTACCAACGTACTCAAAAGAGAGAGCAGAAAACTAGAAATCAGTCATTTCCTAGATTCTGTTCTTCAATCATTCAGAGCTGCAGAATGGTGAAGTGGAAAGTAATATTTTATAAACTTTTTACTTCTATTTATTTACCTTAAAATCTGATACAATAAGTATGTTTCCCTCTTTAGTTTCCAAGGACATTTCAGTGCAGTAGTCAGAATTACCAGTCTTCATACATGAAGTTCTGTTTCCTTTTCTAAGGAGCCTCCTTTGTTTGTAGTTTTTCTAAAAAATCCAAATGGTTTTGTGGAATTATTACAATACCTGGTATGACTTTTTAAATTTAAACTTTGAAATTTCCCATCCATTTCTTTTGAGTCTTGGCAGATGTCAGTGCCAGGAAAGTAACTGTTTTATTCAATATCTGTTTAAACTCTTTAGTCACACAACTCTTTTATGGAGCACTCCAAGGAATTTTTATCCATATGGATAATCTCTGTTAACATTTTCTTTTTTAAAACTAAGAATATAAAAATACTAATATTTCCAAAGTAATAACAAGTCTAGTATAAGTTAATGTAAGTAGCACTGTCCTCCCATTGTTCATCAATTTGCTCGAGCGGGCACCAATAACGTCTCCATTGTGAGACTTATTGTTACTATTTTTGGCATACCGAATACATCACAAGGAGCTTGCCAGGCTTTGCCATTAATGTAAGTACGTTTTTAAAAGTAACTATTAAAAGAGACTTTTTGTATAAATGGCATTTTTATGTTTTATACTATTCATGTCAAGCTTTAAAAGGAAGAGTTGAATTTTTATTTCTGATGTCAGTCTGTTGTAGCAGGTTGTTTTTATCGAAATACATGAATGAAATTTTGCCCTTAGTTGGAAGAGAGAAGTTTGTAGTAATCTCATCATTATTGTATATGTACCTCAAAATTATGGCAATGTATAATTGTAATTCCTTTAAGAAATTACAATGAGAAATCTAAAGTAATAGCTGTGAATTTTCATGATTTGTGGCATTAAAATCCATTGACCTGTCACTTTGTATGGATTATTTACCCATGTGTGAGTTTGTAGTTCAAATTGATCTCTTTAAAAATACTAATTCACCTAGTTATATATGTTTTCTCTGTATTAGCACATTAATATACCAAAATTGATGTTCTGATAATTCATATATTATCAGGAACATGTATATGGTGTCATTTATATAATACAAGAAATCATATTACTATCTCTTATCAGAAAAATTTCTGTATTGGAAAACTGTTCAAAGCTAGGATACATATAATTTTTCCAAATTCTAATTTTCTGTTGAAAATTCTAATTTTACATTGTGTCAAAAATGTAAGAAAGAAAAAAATTAGTTACTTTATTAAATCTGAGCCTTTAGTAATATGAATCCAAAATGTGAATTTTATGTAAAACACTTCTGTGAAAGAGGTGTACAGTTGCTGATGATTATTTCAAGGAAAGCCTGTTTGTTTTGCAGTATGAATTAGGTATTTTTATTTGAATCAATAGCTGATAAACAAAAGGCATGAGATATTTTGCAGAAATTTTCAGAAATATCAACAAAGTTTGTCACTTCAAGAAAAATAGACAGTGTTTTGACAGGGCTGAGATTTAATAAAGTTAAATCATTTATTTCTTCTTCATCAAAGGCATTCAGAAGCTGAAGCGGTACATATTAATGCCAGATAAGTGGCATTAAAGAACACCTCCATGCTGCTAATGTAGTTTGATATCTTGACTTGTGCTCAAAATGCAGCACTTTTTATACATACAACTTTTAAACCATCTTTAGTACAGTGACAAGGCAGATGAGATCCTGGTACTATTGTGAAAATAGTTTTAATTTCAGGGGATCACCTGATGGGTCTCAGTGATCTCCCAGGGAAGTTGTAGAAACTGCTTTATAAATGGAATCCACTTGTCATTACCTGATTTCAGTAAATAGATACTGAAGTGAAGAGGTGAGTAGAGGATGATGCAAATGATTCAAGACTTCATTTAACCTTCATTCTTACATGAAAAGTGTTTGTTTTTGTAGGGTTGGCATTTAATAAGATGGCCACAGCAGGATGTGGACACAGGTTTAGTAATTAGCACCTTAGAATAACCCAGTTGTACTTGTGTTTTAGGCCTTAGGGTACTTGGAAAAGTGCCAGCAAGTCTCTCTTCCTACTGTTGAATACTCAGTTTTCTCCTTAAAGTCTTGTCTAACTCATGTTATGTAATAGTAAACCTAGACACTTCTAAGATTGTATTTTGAAGTCACAATTTTTAGTAATTGTTGGCACCATCAACATCTGTTGAGTCGGGGGTCGGTGTCAAAATAATGAGACAAATACATAAGGTGACAAATACACCAGACTTTCCAGGCCTTAATGTAGCTGGGCAGTCCTGCGTAAGCTCACAGCTGGCCATGTATTCTGTACAGCATTGCTCCCCTGCCCTGGGTCCCAACATCTGAATTTTTGTTTACGTTGACAGGCTTTAAGCACATCAAAATTCAAATGGTACTTTTAAGAGAGGAGGCTGGAATATTTCACAAAGCCAATCAGCAGGCACCCTTGAAGTATAACATCTATAGCAGTTTCCTGTTCTGTTTTTGCCTGTGTTGCCCTTTATCTAAGAGAAGATCCTAAACGGTTTCATTCTTGGGCCGTTATTGCTGCCTGGTAATATTCTGAGACCTATGCTCTTTTGCCCTGCGATTATCCTAACCTTGGGGTTGCATTTTTGTTAGGGGCACAATCTCCCACAATTAAAATTCTTGAGACTTGTATGTTAGATAATGACTAAAGGATAGCTTTCCATTTTGTAAAATTGATTCTCATAATAAAAAGTTCTTGCCGCTTAGGTAAATATATATAAAATAATTTTTTTCTCAAGATGAAAAATTTGAATTAAATTATGATTATAACTTAAATGCAAAAATAAAGATTATAATGAATAAATAGTTATTCACCAGGTTTTATCAGGCATCAAGCAAACTTTAAGCATAATACAATTTTAAGACTTTTTTCATTGAGCGATAGCACAGCGGGTAGGGCGTTCGCCTTACAAGCGGTCAACATGGCCAACCCGAGTTCGATTCCTCCACCCCTCTCGGAGAGCCCGGCAAGCTACCGAGAGTATTCGATATGCCAGCCACAGTAACAACAAAGTCTCCAATGGAGACGTTACTGGGCCCGCTCGAGCAAATCGACGATCAACGGGAGGGCCTTTACCTTTTTACTATTAACATTGTGATTGATCTTAAGTGGTTTCATATTTACATTTTTTTCATCCAGTTCGAAATGTGAGTTTTATTTTAAGTGATAATCCAATGATATGTTAATCTAATTTTCATGAAGACCTAGATTTCTGTTTATTTTGTATGAATGGAAATCTTTGTATCTTATTTAACAGTATTTTTTCCATAAAAATCTCATTAAAGTCAACATTAAGTTATGTCATTTTTTTCCTTCTGTTTTTCTGAAAACATTTTTAAGTTTTTTTTTCTCTAGCTCCCCACATTTTTTTTTAATTAACTGTCTTCTTCCTGATAAATACTTTACAATATTCTTAGTTTCCATTCTTAATTTGATTTTCAGTGTTCTTGCTCTTTTGGAAAATCATGGTCAACTTTTTTTCTGTTCTTATTCTTATTTTTGGCAGAGAAATGGTAACATATGACTGTAAGTGAATCACTGATGTTGTTATCTGACCACCTAGACAGTAACTCAGTCATTTATTAATCTTTACTGACTCTTCAACTATCATGCAGCTATGTATGTAGCACTGCCCTCCTGTTGTTCATCAATTTGCTCGAGCGGGCCTCAGTAACGTCTCCATTGTGAGACTTTATTTTTACTGTTTTTGGCATATCAAATATGCCACAGAGAGATTGCCATATGTAAGCAAACTAAAAATTATCTTAGAAGTATCACTTGCTCATTAATTTTTCTAAACTATAATATGTTCTTGCAGAAATTCTTGATGAAGGAGATAGTGATTCAAACACGGACCAAGATGCTGAAAGTAGTGACGAGGAGGAGGAGGAAGAGGAGGAGGAAGAGGGTGAAGATGAAGAAGGTAATGATGCAGATTATTTAAATAACACCATGAACTAGTCTAAAATTGAAATTATTAAGATCTTTTGTTTGTTTTTGGTTTGGGGACCCGCCATCAGTGTTCAGGGCTTTTTCCTGGCTCTGCATTGAGTGATCACAGCACACCATTTGCGGTGCCAGCTATCGAACCCAGGTCGGCCACATGCAAGGCAGGTGCCCCACCCACTGTACTCCAGCCCCTGTTGTGATTTTTCCCTTTCTTTTCCTTTCCCTCTTCTTCCCTCCTCCCCACCCCCCCCATTTCTTTCTTTCCTTTTTTATGTGTTTTTTTCTTTTTTTTTGGGGGGGGGGGCGCGGCTCCCAGGGTGCTCAGGACTTACTCTATTGGGACCATATGATGTACAGAGGGGAAAGAACCTGGGTTGGCAGCATGAAAGGCCAGCACCCTATCTGCTATACTGTCTGCCCAGTCTTATAGCAGTCCTCTTAAGTAGTGGTTCCCAGTCTGTGGTGGTAAGCAAGACTGGCAGTGCAGTTCTTGGACCAGAGCATGTGGTGCTGCTCGGTCTCTGTGATGCCAGGAACCACCTAGGCCACCCGCACAGTTCTTTGGGGTCTTTAGGACCACGCCTGGTGAAACTTGGGACCTTATGTAGTACCTATCATTGAACCTGTCTTCTCGGCCCCTGATTCTGTGACTTTTTGAAAAGGTCGTTCATCGTATATGGAAGCTGAGAATACCGTTCAACATCCTACAAATCACAGGATTGCCCCACACAACAAAATAATATTTAGCCCAACATGTCAATATTGCCACCCTTGGAAACTTTGCTGTTAAAATATTAAGCAAAAGCATATTTGCTTTAGCATAATTTTAATTTGATATTTTATGCCTTTGATTATAAACTATTAAAAAGGTACATTCATGTTGAGAGCTGTGATTTACGTAACCCTGGCATAAATGTGACAGATGAGAATGACTAGATATTTGCTATTCACTTTGGCAAAATAGAGTAGGGAAGCCAAAAGCTATATTTGTACAGAAGAAGGCATGATGTTCTTCCTCTTTCGGCTTTGATTTTGTTATTTCACAGAAAATAAGCTTAGAACTTTTGTAAGTTAAGATCCAATTAAGACAACAACACACATTGACTAATCTTTATTTACATGTATTATATATTACCAGAAAACTGATATCTAAGTATATCTTTTTTAGGATATAGTATAGTTTAGATCTGTCTTAGAGTATACTTCCTCTTCTGTGGTAAATCTCATAAAAATAAATTTTAGTCTATTTATTTAAATATCTTCTATGTGTAACATTTTTATTTTAGAATTTCTTTGTTTTATGTGAAAATATTGTTAAAAATAATAAATATATGTAAGGAGCATTTTCATGGGTAAGGAAACTTCTGACAAATAATAGATATTTATATAGGATCCATATTGCCTCTCATAGTTGTTCATTTTCTCTGAGATAATATCTACCTTTAAGGCTTAGTTTTTCAAATTATAAAAATACTGTTTATAACTCTAGAAGTACTATTTTACCATACAAAAAGTGACTGCATCTTTCTGTGATTTCCAAATGATACAGAAACAAAAAGATTTTTCTTGACCAGCTTCTGGACTTTTTTAGTTAACAGAACTTTTTAAAATTCTCTTAAAATATGACAAGGAACTTGAAAGTTGCTTTGAATTATACAAATAATAACTTATAGTGTAGAAAGTTTTATTGAATGTAGTCCTAGATAGATTTCTGAAAAACATACAAAAATGCATTTTTAGGACTTTACACTTATTTTGTAATTTTATAATTTTGTATGTTTAATTACTTTCAGGAAAAAAATTAACTATTCATGACAAAACAGAAATTAATCTAGTCTCATTTCGTCGTACAATTTATCTTGCAATTCAGTCAAGGTAAGTGACCTAAATTACCTCTTATTTTTTGCTAATCTATGGACAAAGATGATGTTCTTTGAATCAAATGACAGGAAACTAAATACTGATTATTTTAGCGATCCTTACACAACCTGCCTTTATACCTATCTCAAGAATAAGCGATAGATCTCCACTATTTGTTCTTTTCTTCAAAAACAAATCGTCATAACTTACCTGGTAAGTCTATTCATTTTGCATAAATGTTTTATTTTGTTAGTTATGTCCTTTCCTTTTTCCTTTTATTTTTTTAGTTTCCATGATTTACAATTTTACAGTACTGCCAATGACAGGATTTCGTGAATACAACATTCCAGCCTCACGCCCCTTACCAACGTCCATTTCTCTCCACAGTTATCTGAAGTTTCCCTTTATTCCTTTTCCAGAAGCTATATATATATATATATTTTAAATAATTTTATTTACTTATTTATTTTTCTTCTTATAGTTATTGATTGAATCACTGTGGGAAAAGTTACAAAGCTTTCAGGTTTAAGTCCCGGTCATTCAATGATCAAACACCTTTCCCTTCACCAGTACTCATTTTTCACCACCAAGAACCCCAATATACCCCTCTCCCACCCCTCCCAGTACCTGTGAGGCAGATGATTTCTACTTCGCTCTTCTCTACATTGATTGCATTCATTATTTCAACAAAAGATGCACCATTATTGTTTAGAATCCCCCCCACCCCCCAACAATCAGAATTGCTGAACAGGCATTGTGAAATACTTAGTTTTCTATAGCTGGTTATGAGAATCATATAATGTCGCATGGCTGTGGCATGATTTTGGATTTCTTCAGAGAGCCAGATAATTACGAGATTGGTTTCTCTGCGTCTGGTGTTAGGGCTGTGCCGGAGAGCTGCTCGTGGGGGGCAACTTGTGACCTCGGTAGGGCGTGAAGGACGAGCCGGTACCGCCCCTCTTCCCATGAGACTGCAGTTGCCCCGTCACCCGCTGGCTCATACCTGGCTTTCCTATAAGCTCTGAGGCGGCGGCCACCTTGTATGTGGTCTGGATGCATTTCTGCTAAAAGCCGCTGCGTTTCGAGATTTGTTTCTGAATCTCTGGGATTATGGCCGTTAATCAGCTTGATCAGGAGCCAGAGAGGCCATTTGTAGGCAGCAACTCAGGGTCTCATTGGGAAGGCGAGGAAAGGGCCAGTTCCACCCCCATCTGGTGAGGCCCCGCATGTCTCATCACTGCAGACCCAAACTGTCCAGTGGCCTCTGGAGGATGGTGGTCACTAGGCCACCAGGGGGAACAGGCCAAGACACGAAACCTATTCCCACCTGGATTGGCTCAGTGCCTGTAACCTACTGCAGGAACAGGACACATTTTTTGCAAAAGCCTTTGGGTTCCAAGATTCGCTTCTGAGTCTCTGGGATCATGGCCTTTAAGCAGTTCGATCAGGAACCAGAGAGGCCATGCCTCCAATTATATAGCTGAGCCGGAAGTGGTTTGTGGGTGTATCTCCCCATACCTAACTTTTGGCCATTTCCTTTCTTGCTAAACTTTGCCCCAAGTTTTTGGGGTCTGGCCGAAGGCACAGCAGGAATTTAGGGGTATCTGAAAGTCTGACGGTGCCATCAGCCTTCTGATGCACTTACCTCACAGGTACAGATTGACCTGCTGGCAGCACCATACCCCAGAAGCATATTTTTTTTAAGTTAAATACTACTAAAAAAAACCCTGAAAACAACTATGTTATAAATTTATGATAGTATTTTATCTTTATTTTTTTCTAACTTAGTTTAACTGATTCTGAGCAGAGATATACTTGATAGTATAACTTTTGGGTACTGATTTGTTCTACAGATAGAGATAAGTGGAAATGGAGATAGAAGTTAGATTTCAAAACAGTTTGAAGACCATTTGATGTAATCTTAAGTAAGAACTACAATGATGTTGAAGAAACAAAATCTATTTCCATTGAAGACTGAGCTTGACTTTGAAGATTTATTAATATGTTAAATGATTTATGCATCTGTTGTTTTGTATACAGGTCAACCTGTTGATTTAGTAGTGACCATACTTATTTTTACATGGGAGAGGAAGTGTTTTCTCAGCTTTTTTTTAGGTTTTGTGTATTTCCATTTACTATGATGTAATAGCAATAATGATTCATAAGTATGAGTCATCTTGTTTTCAGTCTGTCTGAAAACTTTTTTGGCTTAAACTTTTAAAAGTTATCTAGGCTCTTACCCAAAATTGAGGCTTCCACATTTCATAAAAACTAAGCATAAAAATAGTAAACAACCAAAGTTACTTCTAAGAAAAAAGTGTACTTTATACAGTGCTCATGTAAATTATGTAAAAAATTTCAACACATTGCAACTAAGAAAAATATCAATTTTACCGTGAGCTTAATTCAGGAGTAATATTCATTCAGTATATCTACTTCTCTCTAGACTGTTCAAATCCTTATTCTTTAAATAACAGGGTAGAACAACCACACATTGAAATACTATTATGAATTTAGCATTCATAGTTCATTTGTATTTCTGAGATTCTTACTGGATTTTGTAAGTATAGCTGAGTAATTCATTAACAAAAGTAAACATAGACAAACTGGGAAAAAAAAAGAAGTGAAAAAAGAATTCAGAAGAGCTTTTTATAACGGGTAATATTACACAGTATTGAAGATCAAAAAGTAACTGGCAGTTGGTCAATTTCAATAATATAAATAAAATACAAAGTAGTTTTAGAAAGATATGACATTGCTATTTTTCTGTCTTCTCTGACATTTTATTGTTTTTAGGGGGGATGTGGAGGGGAGGCACTTAGGGGGGCTCCAGGTTGTTCAGAAGATCATGTGGTGCTGACAAGCCTATATACTATAGAACCACTTAACTATCTCTGCACAATTTTAAAACAGAATGGTGAAAAAAACAAATAAAAAAATACGGGGCTGGAGAGATAGCACAGCGGGTAGGGCATTTGCCCTGCAAGCAGCCAACTTGGATTCCCAACATCCCATAAAGTCCCCTGAGCCCTGCCAGTAGTAATCCCTGAGCACAGAGCCAGCAGTTAGGCTAGAGAACAGCCAAGTGTGGCCCCAAAACAAACAAACAAAAAAAAATGAAAAAATGTCAAGTAATTATGAAAAACATGAGCTTTCCTTTTATCAATTATGTGAAATATCTGATGGTAGAAGTTACTTGTATCAAAGTCTATTTTCCTTGTTTTATTTTTAAAAATATGTGATCACTCTGCACAGTTTTACTAAAGTGAATTAAATTTGCCTGATAACTTGACATTTTCATTATCTTAAATTGCTTTTTTAAAAAAATTTCCTAGATAAATACAAATTAAGAAACCAAAGAGGGGCTGAAGGAATAGCACAGCAGGTAGGGCATTTTGCCTTGCATGCAGCTGACCCGGGTTCAATTCCCAGCATCCCATATGGTCCCCTGAGCACCGCCAGGAGTAATTCCTGAGTGCAGAGCCAGGAATAACCTGGCCCCTGTGCATCGCCAGGTGTGACCCACAAAGAAAGAAAAAAAAAAAAACAACAAAGGAAATTGCAAAGCAAAGATGATATAACTGTTTTTATATATTTTTATATGCCATGTGACTTTATTATTATTTTTATATTTATTTTGCTGTGCCAAGGATTTTACCCAGGAACTTGTGGACATAGAGCAAATGTTCTACTGCTAAGCTACATCCTGCCCCTGTTAGATTCTTTATTTCTATTGCAGTATACTATAAAAATAAGACCATGGGAAACACTTTTAAACCAGGCACCAAAAAAAATCTGTAACTTTCCAGGAAACCTCTGATGCTGTTAATGTGTTGTTTCCAGAGTCTGCCTACCTGTTTTATACAGTTAATAGTACTGGTACAGTACTATACCTTCTATTTTCCACCATACGTAATGTTAAATCATCTGCCCACATTGATAGCGCATGATACTTTCTCTAATCAATCTAATTTTTTTTTTTTTTTTTTTTTTTTGCTTTTTGGGTCACACCCGGCGATGCTCAGGGGTTACTCCTGGCTCATGCTCTCAGGAATTGCTCCTGGCGGTGCTCGGGGGACCATATGGGATGCTGGGAATCGAACCTGTGTCGGCCATGTTGGCTGCGTGCAAGGCAAACGCCCTACCCGCTGTGCTATTGCTCCAGCCCCTCAATCTAATTTTCAACGGTGGCGTAAACTGAACATTTTAATTGTGTGGTCAGTAAGACTTCCCTTTTTAATTGGGGGCCACATGTCACAGAGCCTCGACTCAACTCCTGGCTCTGTGCTCAGGGAACCATGTAGTGTTAGTAACTGAACCAGGGCCTCAAGCATGCACAGCATGTGCTGCAGGACATTTAATAATGCACCTGGCACCAACTGCCCTTTTTAATAAACTGACAAACTGGCAGGCTACCGAATGTAACCTGCCCACACGGCAGAGTCTGACAAACTCCCCGTGGCATACCCAATATGCCAAATACCAGTAACAGTGATGGGTCTCATTCTCCTAAAGAGCCTTGAATATGGCACTTTCTTAAAAATCTCAGGGCTAGGATGAAGGAGACGTTACTGGGGCCTGCTCGAGGCAATCGACGAATAACAGGATGGTCATGATCGTGAACTTTTATATATGTAATTTTCTGTCAATATGCAGTTTTTCCTTTTTTTTTTCTTTTTCCCTGTGGAAGGGTGGGGTAAGGGTGGGCAACAGGATCACACCCAGCTGTACTCATGGCTTACTCCTGACTCAGGAGTTACTTCTGCTGGGGCTCAAGGACCATGTGCGCTGCCGGGGATTGAACCCTAGTCAGCTGCATGCAAGAAAAGCACCCTACCTAACTGTGCTACCTTTGCAGCCCCCTATATCTGATAACCATTTTCCTCTCTCTCCTTCCCTTCCTCACTCCCTTTGTTCCTTCGCTCCTTCCCTCATCCCTCTCCCTCCCTCCCTCCCTCCCTCCCTTTTCCTTTTAGTTTGTTTGGTTCTTTGTTCTGGTGCCACATCCAGCTGTGCTCAGGCTTGCTCAAGGCTTGCTCAGGGGAATCACCACGTTTTCAGGGATCACCATGGCTGATTTGGGAGACCATATGGGTCACAGGATTAAACCTGGATTGGGTATGTGCAAGGCACGTGCCCTATCTGCTGTATCTGTTTAGCCCTTCAATAGGAATTTTTTAAGAAGAAGTAATGGAAATGGATCAAGTGAAATTAACATTAAGTCTTTGACTCATGTATATCAAAAGGCTCATCAAATTTATCAGTTTAAACTGCCACCAGTGTTTATGCATATCTCGCGAAAATTATCATTAATACCAAGTTGATTAATTATGTTGATTAGCTATTTTAATAAAAATACAAGGTATTCACCTACAGTAATCTTTATTACTAACCTCTTTCGGATTTCATAATTCTAGTTTACGGACCTCCAAATCATGTTCCATAAACATCTATCAATATTTTTATGTTATGTCCTAATACTTGTGTATAAACCCTAAAGCATAGTAAAGTTTCTCATGTATTTTTTTACAAGGCATTTAGGAACTGAGAACTCTTTAAAAATATCAACACATAGCGGCAGTTATATAATAGTGGCTGTCACTTGCGTTAGTGTTTTAATTCTTAAAATCTTCTGTGTGATTCTGAGATTACCACAGGACAAATAAAAACTAAGATTTCATTTGACTAATTATTTTAAAGCTTCCTCTAACTCTTCCAAATTCATACTAATAGCAATATTTAAAACAGTAAGCCTGATATTCACAAATGATTACAAAGAAAGAAATAAAAGATGAAACTATAATACAGTTTTCTTTCTACCAAAGTTTGCATGAAAATAATAATATTTTGCCTTCATGTGAAAGGCAAAGAAAATATTCCTCCCCCAGAATTCTAGCTAGTATTTAGTTATTCTTTTTGAAAACTCTGGGCATGAACTTAAATAACTATTCAAAGTGATGACAAAACACTAGTGACATTCTGGGGTTCTGGAGTATTCTTGCCTCTTCTTTATTCCTTAGATCAGAGCAAAGTAGAAATACATGGCAGAATAACAAAAATTATAGTCCAATTTCTGTGCTAATGGGTTTGTTTCTTCTAGTATATTATATAACTGAATATGTGGGTCTTTTGTGTCTGCTTTTTTTATTTAGCTTAGTTCAAGGTTTCATGTGTTTAAATATTAGTATTTCTTTGTTGAATTATAAAAGTTTCACAGTTTTAACCATGTAGCAAGCTTGTAATGTAACTATTGTAACCATTTTATCTCCACAGTTTAGATTTTGAAGAATGTGCTCATAAATTACTGAAAATGGAGTTTCCTGAAAGTCAAACAGTAAGCTAATACAATTTTTCTTTTATTTAATCTCTATAATGATAATAGAAATTTTTTGGTAGGTTTTGTAAGTTGAAGCAGTAGTTAAAATTGTTCTAAGTACCCATTTTTAAATAACTCAAAACTTATTCTACTTATTTCAGTAAATTAAATTGGTTATTTGAATGGAATATGGGAAGAGAAAGAAGTTCTCATGGGCTGCTTGTTCACTTTACATAAATTTCAGAATGGTTGCGATAAATCAAATTGTGGATTAAACACTTAGAGAGTTAGTTTTTAAATTACTTGACTCATCTACTTTATGATTAAAATACTTCGATTGGTAAAAACTAAAAGGACCACCATACATGTTACTTTTGTTGGCTAAAAAAAATCTTTTTTCCATTCGTTGATTCATAAAATAAAAATGTGCCTGTCATAAACTGTATGTCAGGTACCATGTTCGTGAAGTGTCAGGGATTCATTATATCTATAAAATATATAAACTTTATACTTCATATATATTTATGTATAAAGTATGTATTTATAATTATACATATAGTGTATATATGCTTTATATTTTATATTATAGATTATACTTTAATTTTAATGACACTGTTTTTCCCTCTTCAAAAGTATATATATATATGTATATACATATGGTGTGTGTATATGTGTGTGTGTGTGTGTGTGTGTGTGTGTTAGTACCCCATAGTAGAACTCATCGTCTTAAAACTCAGTGCACTTAACTTTTCAAAATATAATGCTGTAAAAATAAAGACAGAACTAAATACATTATCTTGAATTATTTTTTGGGGGGCTGGAGCGATAGCACAGCAGGCAAGGTGTTTGTCTCGCACGCTGCCAACCGGGTCAACCCCAGTTCGATTCCTCCGCCCCTCTTGGAGAGCCTGGCAAGCTACTAGAATATCTCGCCTGCACAGTAGAACATGGCAAGCGACCCATGCCGTGTTCGATATGCCAAAAACAGTAATAAGAAGTCTCACAATAGAGACGTTACTGGTGCCCACTTGAGCAAATCGATGAACAATGGATAGACAGTGCTACAGTGCTATTTTTTTCTATTTACCTTCAGGTGTATGTATTTATATATACATTATATATATATGTATGTATCGTCATACACACACGTACATGTATATATATAAAACTGTCTTACTTATAGATTCTATATCCTTGGACTAGGGACCCATGTTGTTTTTACTTTCTTACACACGGTGTTTTATATATAATAGTATAAAGCAGATAACTGAGTTTAAATTCATCAGCTCCTGAAATGAATCAGAGAATATAGAATGTCTTCACTCATGTGTGGGAATATAAAGAAATGGTAGAGGAATAGCTCTGCCTAGTAGCAATAGAAACAAAGAGCAGGAGAACTGGTTCTTAGTGGAAAGTTTGCCACACAGGGTGAGGGGGATAAGGGACCAATATAACAGTGTTCTAGGGAGGTGGTAACTCTGAGTGAGGACCGAGAGCTGATAGGAAGTAAAGTAACATGCATGGCAGCATGGCAGTGACAGTATGGTAAGCTGTCATGCCAACAAAGATGAGGAAGGGATTGGTTGGGACATTGAATTGCCGAAACAAAATCATAAGTTAACAGTGATTCAATTAAAAAGAAATTAATGTATCAACACTAATGTCTGCTGAATTTCTAGGCTTTCTGAGCAAAGTTTTTAGTAGAGAAAGTCCTGTCTCAAGACTTGAAATACCATCTGTTACAACAACCAGCAAGCTGTGGCATAGTCTTAACAGCCCACTTTTGTAAATAAAATTTTATTCCAACATAGCCATGCTCATTCACTGCTGTGTGTATAGTTGCTTGTTCACTCTAGATAATTGTCGCAAAAAACTATATCACCTCTAAACCTTAATAATTTACTCTGCCTATTAACAGAGCTTGCCAGCTTTTGTTTTAGAATATAGATGTATTATTGCAATACTGTGTTACGGAATTTTGCAAAGAGGCTGCTCTTTTCAAATTTTAAAAGCATTGTTTTCCCCTCTTAATAAAGTCAATTTATTGGTAATACTAATTACTAACTTGTTTTCTAGGTGCACATGATGTGGCATCACTGGAAGAAAATAAATTAGCAAATTAACCTTTAAAATTCTGACACTGTAATTGCTTTATGATAAGCTATATTATTTGAGGGATATAATTATTATATAAATTTTATTATTATTAACCAGAAGATAGTTGTTCTGGAACTAACCTCAATATATTTTGATAGCATTGGAAGAATGTCTTTGTGCATTTATTTTCATGCACTCAAAAGATTCTCCTAAAGTTTCCATAATATTTAATTAAAATGTAAAAATATTTAATTATTATAAGCCACAGGGAAGAACTTTTGTAATTGCATTTCATCAGTAGATGAAAGTAATTTGTTTTGCAAGTAGTACTGACTTTATTAGCAATGCTATCAGCATATTACCATGTTATAGTGTTTAAAACCTGGTTAACTCTTATGTTACTGTAAAATACAATGTTGGTAGAAAAAGTTGAGATTTATTTAAATGTACCAAATTAACATGGAAGAACTCAATTTTTATTTATTTTTAGTACTATATTAAATTTTGAAGAATCTATCTTTACAGAACTTATATATATTTATAAAGATTTAATTGAATTTGTGCCCAATTAAAAAAATTTTAAAAATAATCTAGCAGTATAATGACTTAAAAATAAACTTTGGGGCTTTGGAAAGATAGTACAGCAGGCAGGGCAATTGCCTTGCATGCAGTTGACCTGGGTTCAGTCCCTGGTTCCAACTATGGTCCCAGACAATGCAAGGAGCAGCACCTGAGCACAGAGCCAGGAGTACACTCTGAGTACAGCAAGGTGTGCCTGCTCCCCCCAAAAATAAAAATAAACACTTTATGTATTTTTTTATTATTTTTTTATTTAATCATTTTTTTATTAGTGAAACACCATGAGGTACATTTATAGACTTATAAATTTTTGTGCTTGGGTTTCAGTTATACAATGATCAAGTACCCATCCCTCCACCAGTGCCCATCCTCCCCCATCACGGGTCCTAGCATCCTTCCCACCCGCCATCCACCCCCCCCCCCCCCCCCCCCGCGGTCCCACCCTGCCGCTGTGGCAGGACATTCCCCCTTGTTCTCTCTCTCTTCTTTTGGGAACTGTGTTTTTCCAGAGAGGCATTGAGTGGCAATCATGTTTGGTCTATAGACTACTTTTAGCATGTCTCTCCCACCCTGGGAGGGTCTTCACAACACCCTTTATTTGGTGCTCTACAAAACACTACTTCGGGAAATAAAAGAGGACACGAGGAAATGGAAAAATATCCCCTGTTCATGGATGGGGAGAATCAACATTGTCAAAATGGCAATACTTCCCAAGGCACTGTACAAATTCAATGCAATCCCTATAAGGATACCCACAACATTCTTCAAAGAAATAGAGCAAACACTCCTGAAATTTATATGGAACAATAAGCCCCCACGAATAGCTAAAGCAATTCTTGGGAAAAAGAAAATGGGAGGAATCAACCTACCTAACTTCAAGCTCTACTACAAACACTTTATTTTAAAATGAAGACTTTGAATAGATTGTTTTATTAGTGGATTATCTGCCTTCAGAAGTACACTGATAGAACTTTTTATAATGTTAGAAATATTTTCTGTATTAGTAAAGTTGGTCCTAGTTACATAATTTTTAAATGCTTTAACTCTAGAGTGCAACTTCAGAACTAAAACTTTGTGGTTTAAAATAATTTAAATTTTACAACCTCTAGTGACTATTGGCTACTAGTGTCTACAGTTCCATGCTTCTCTGATCCATTTCTCACCCCTACACATAGATGTATGTGCTAATTACATATTGTATCAATTTTCTAAAATACTAACAATACACACATCAGTTGTGTCTAGTGTTTTTCTGTGTGAAAAATTTCAGAATTGCTTAGTAAAAATATAAAAAGTAAAAATTCATGAACAGGCTGTTACTTTTATAGGTTTATTTCCTGTTTGTAGAAAGCAGATTATACAATTACTGTACTTGGATTCACTTACTTTTAAACTTTTCAGTAGAGAAACTGTAAAGAAATACATTTAACCAATTCCTTCGCAGTGATCTATGAATGAATTTCTACCTTTTTTTTATTTTGTCTCTATTGATTTCTCCATGTTTTACAAGTTTAATCTATGTAACTTCTGTAATCATTGTTGACTTCATTAGGATAATTTTAGGATTCGGTAATATTTGTTAATTATGAATTGTCTGTGATAAATAGCATTTCCTGATTCTACATTTATTCAAAATGTGTTAATTCAGCAGATTTTTTTCAAGGCATGCATGTAAATAACTTACTGGACACTATAATATTTTAGCAATTATGGAATAATTTCATCAATAGCTACAAATCCATCCAGGATGGATTTATAGGCATAACATTCATTTTGCTCGAGCGGGCCCAGTAACATCTCCATTGGAGACTTTGTTGTTACTGTGTCTGGCATATCGAATATTCTCGGTAGCTTGCCGGGCTCTCCGAGAGGGGCGGAGGAATCGAACTCGGGTCGGTCATGTTGGCTGTGTGCAAGGCAGACGCCCTACCCGCTGTGCTATCGCTCCAGCCCAACATTCATTTTAGTGATAGAAAATTTAGCTACAGAGGTATTTATGTTTTATTCCTTACCAACAAGAGGATTGCGTAACTTGTAATGAATCTGTGCCCACTTCTGCCTCCGTGAATACTTACTATGTATGCCTTTTTTATACCAATTCAACTGTGTAGTTAAGCTTGCATAGTTAGGAGACTACCAACGGAATTATTAGATATTGTGTTGGTGAGTCTATATTTAGAAGAATTTGCATAACACCATTAGAATATACTTACACTCTCTTCTTACCATCTCTGCGTGCTTTTTTCCCCATGTTGTAGGCTTTCTTGAAGTGCTTCATACTTTTAAGAATTTAAACTTGAGGGCTGGAGCAATAGTATAGTGGGTATACACACAGCCAACCCAGGCTCGATCCCCAGCATCCCATCTGTTCCCTAAACACCAGCAGGTGCTCACTGCAGAGCAGTGCAAAGACAGGAGTAATCCCTTAGCATTGCTAGGTCTGACCCAAAAAGACAAAAGAAAAAATAAAAGAATTAAGACTTTTATAAAGCCAAGCTAAATAATATAAATTACCATAGAAACTGGAGGTTATATCAGATGCTTTAAAAAAAAATCTGTGGGTTTAACATGCATTGATGTTAAGATTTTGCCTTAATAACTAAATTTTATGAAATTTAGAAGTCTTGCTTTTTAAAGTCTTGTGGATGTACACTGTTATTCTGGTGAGTATACTGTATGAATTTATTGCTGTGAATCATTAATGTGATTTCCCCCCCCCCACCTCCCCCAACTAGAAAGAACTCTGCAACATGATTCTTGATTGTTGTGCTCAACAAAGAACATATGAGAAGTTTTTTGGCTTATTAGCTGGGGTGAGTTCCAGTTTCATTTTTACTGCTGCAATTTAATAGAATTACGGAAAAATTCTTAGCATTAATAATTTGAATTAATGTTTCTATTTCATGATGTGTTCCAATATACTTTGCTAAGAGCAAGTTATTGTTTTCTGCCATGGGTTTCCCGCAGTCTTTTTTTTTTTTCCCCTTTGCCTTATTTTTGTAGTACCATTTTTTTATTTAAATCTCATTCCAGAACTTTTGGAATTCTGCATCTTCAAAACAGTTTCCTAACCAATACAGTGAATTTCTGTCTTGAGAAAATTATAGTTTCAGAAGTCATGTACATTTATCAGCTGCTAGAATACTTTTTAAAATCCAAACTACTCACAAAGTAGAGTTATAACTATATATATATAACTATTTTTATATATATAAAAATGCATGTGTCTTTTTCAACTACATGTTATGTTTTAGCATATAGAGCTCTGATAGGGGCAGTAACTTTACTGAATTATGAATCATACTGCACAAAAAGATAAAGTAACATATACAAATTTTCGCTTTTGATTCAATAAACTCAGAGGAATTAATAATCTTGCAATATTAGCATTAAATTTTAATGGGATTGACATTAATATTTTTTATTAGCGATTTTGCATGCTGAAAAAGGAATACATGGAATCCTTCGAAGGCATATTCAAAGAACAATATGATACTATCCATCGCTTGGAAACAAACAAATTGAGAAATGTTGCTAAGATGTTTGCTCACCTTTTATACACTGATTCACTTCCATGGAGTGTAAGTAGATGGTTTATTATTTATATATGCTTCTTAGTTTTTATTATTTTCACGTAGGTATTCAGGAAAGCATAGACTTTTCCTGTGTAGGAAACATATAAATTAGTTGTGTAATAAATTTTTACGACTATCTTTGAGTTCCGTATACTATGAGATTTAAAAGCTAAATAAGTACTAGAATTAGAAATATCTGGATGATGAAAAACTGTCTTCACACTGTTTTCAGTAGCGATATCTAGGGTTGTCTGTTGAGAAATATTGTGTATTTTTGTCTTTTCCACATATATATAGAGATGTGTGCACATTCATATCCCCAGACTCCAGTATTTTGATAGCACATAAATTTTTGACGTTTGTCCACTTTCTGAGGAAATAACACCATTTAGACCATGAGAGAAATCTGTGTCTTAGCAGGCACACTCTTTTTTAGCAAACACTGAAGTTGGGTAAATAGTAGGGAAGAACTTAAAACCATCTCAGGTGAATAAAAGATATTCTTGATGAAGGAATATAGACAGAATTGGAATATGAAATGATTCATTGTGCTGGCTCTTAGTTTTATAACTGCTGCTCATTTAACACTCATTTGTTTAACCATCAACTGTGTGCATATTTACTGAGAGATATAAGGCATCCAATGATGTATGATCCCCGGCCTGGGAGATGGTCCCTTGATTATCACAAAAGCTTAGCATTTACAGGACCTGGTTTTGATCCCCAATACCACACGACCTCCAGTGCAAGGCTGGATGTTGCCCTGCAGGCCCCTGAGTATTGCTGGGTGTGACAATGGAAGCCTTTAAGCACTAGAGGAGTGGCCCTCGTGGTTCTTGGTACCACAGGGTTCAAGCAAAACCATATGGTCCTGAGCAGCACCATATCTTTGTTTCATGGGACCATACGGGGTGCTAAGGATTGAACACGGGTGGCTGCATGCAAAGCAAATGCCCCACCCGCTGTCCCATCTCTCTGGCCCTACTTTTTATTTGTGCTAAAGTATCTGTCCATTAGCTTCAGTTTTAGTGTTCAAACAAATCATTATCACTCTTTCAGTTACCCTAATTGTGTATGTGTTATAGAAATCATAACCTGATATAAATGGCATTTGTCTCAGAATTTCATATACCCATATCTCAGTGCGTGTGGTTTGTGAGCGAGTAATCTTCATGTTCTCCCTACTAGGAAAGCCATACTCGAAAAAGAGAATGGGATCTATTTCTGTAGAATCTTGACATTTTGAAAATTAGCACAAGGGATATAGAGATGGTTGTAATTGAAGCTCAGGATAAGTAATTCTAGCGGAAACTTAAAGTTATAAATATAAGTATAGTTATAAATATTAGTCATTTTATTCTTATGAACACCAAGATAATTTTTTATTTTAATTTTTAGGTTCTTGAATGTATAAAGCTCAGTGAAGAAACCACTACATCATCTAGTAGAATTTTTGTTAAAATATTTTTCCAGGAACTGTGTGAATATATGGGTCTTCCTAAACTTAATGCAAGATTAAAGGATGAGTAAGTGCATCATTAAGCATACTTTATTCACAGTATCCTCAGGTTTTCCCCCACTTCAGTCGTAAAAAGTCCACCCTTGATTATAAAAACAAGAATAATCCCCAAGGATTTTAGTTACAACTAAAGTAACTATTAGTTACTACTCTGAATTTCATATTCTGTGTCACAGGGCAACATATAATTTTTTAAGTTTAGTTTAAGCAGAAAAAATGCGTGATTTTTATTTTTTTAAAAGCAGTTGGGATCCACAAAATTATTTTGGCACACCTGCTAGAGTTTTTTCAGATTCCAGTATTCTATCACAGCTTTCTTCTTTCCTACTTGTTTGGATTGTTCATTGCCACTTGCGCTCCCTACATTCACGCTATTAAACTCATTTCAGTGTTCTCTCCTTGACCACCCTGCTAAATCGAGTACTTCTCAGTCTGCATGCCCTTCCCCTTATCCACGTCACTCATACACTTGCCCACTTGTTCATTTTCTTCTCTTACCGTGGTCTTTTTCTCAGCCTGCCTCTCCAGTGTCAGAGTCCTGGAATCCTCACACTCTCTACGTTATTCATTCACTTGTCTTGACTTCATGTCCCAATTCACTTGACTTCATAGAGCTCATTTTCTTCCTCTCCAGCAAGTTGCACTATTGTCATACCAACATTGCCCAGCTTCTCTTGCTTCCTCACCTGTTAGCAGTGCCGAGAGCCCCATCCCACTCTTAGTCTACCAAATAAACTTATTTTGTTGGTTGGCTTGTTTTAGTTTTGGGTTTTTGGTTCACACCCAATGGTACACAGGACTTACTCCTGGTTCTGCATTCAGGGATCACTACTGGTGGTCTTAGGGGACCATCTTGGGTGCGCAGGATCAAACCCAGGTTAGCCGTTTGCAAGACAAACATCCTACTCACTGTACCCTTGCTAGCAAGCCAAATCTTAATTGTCTCTTTTTATTCATTCTCTTTTTCAACAAAAGAGGATGTTTTTTAAAAAATTCTACAAGTCTGACACTGAAAACCATAAGTTCAAATGCTAATGATCTATTTGTGCCCCTCCTGAGAAAGAATCTTTTTATGCCGCTTTAGCCTTGATTTCTCTCTTGAATTTATTCTTCTCTACGCCTCCCTTAGTTCCTGACACAGGGCATTACATACATATTTGGGTTTATACATAATAAAAGTGTTTGTACTTTTTTCCTCTTTGTGCCCCATTTATAACATGTACGTAATATTCATGTATGTTCTGTCTGTTATTCTGCACTTATGATAATGTCTCTCTATTCCTCTCTCTTGAGGACTGGAGACAAAGCACAGTGGGTTGGGTACATGTCTGCACACAGCCAACCCTGGTTGTATCCCTGACATAGCTTATGGTCCCTTGATCCTCACCAAGAATGAGCACTGAGCATCACTGGGTGTGCCCCACTTTTAAAAAACCAAACTTCCTTTATTAATTGTCAAAAATAACATTTGATAAATTATGACTTTACCTTAATTATTTTATTTAGACAGTGTGTAGCCTAACAGTAAATAGCTTGCTAAGTTATATTTCAGTTACTAACCCGATTGAAAAGAGTTCCGGGACTTTGAGTTTTGTCTTTAATCCATCTTTTCTCTTTTGTTCCATTTTTGTTCATTTTTTAGGACCCTGCAGCCTTTCTTTGAAGGATTATTACCCCGAGATAATCCAAGGAATACTCGATTTGCCATCAATTTCTTCACATCTATAGGTCTTGGAGGGTTAACGTAAGAATTATTCTCAGAATTTTATTTTTGACTTTGTGGATTTTTATCCTAGTTGCTTTCAAAGTGCAGTCTAACACTGTGTTTGTAATCAGGGACGAATTGCGTGAGCACCTCAAAAATACACCCAAGGTCATCGTGGCCCAGAAAGTGGATGTTGAGCCAAGTCAGTCTTCCTCATCATCTTCTTCTGCATCCTCCTCTTCTGAGTCTGACTCGTCTGCCTCCGACTCGGACAGCAGTGACAGCAGCTCAGAGTCATCCAGCGAGGAGAGCGAATCTTCGTCCAGCAGCAGCCAGAGTTCGGCCTCAGGTAATGAACTCATTCATAGTTAACTGTGCGCTTTTCTAACCAGTAAGACAATCATTTTGATTACTTGTTTCAGAGTTCAGTGATTTATTACTCTATTAACTTTATTCATAGCACAAAGTTGACCTTTTAGAGATGTTTTAAATCCAGATTTATCCCGTGTGAACTTTTTTTTTTATGTCTGGCTTCTTTTAATGTCTTGTTTCCAAGATTACATTCATATTGTTGAATTTGTAGTTCATTCTCATTGATGTATAGTTTTCTATCATATGATTATACTATAACATGGTCAACATCCTTTTCATTCATTGGAAATTAAGAATTATAGTATTTCCATAAATACTCTAGTAAATATTAAGGGGGTGGAGGGCGGTGTGTGCATTTCTAGTACCTAGAAGTGAAATACTTGAATTATAGGGTATGCATATTAGATACTACCAAGTAGCTTTCCAAGTCACTTTTCCATTGGCCAGAGAAAACCAGTTAAGGCACTTGCCACTGACCTCCTTGGCACCACATATGTCCCCTGAGTATCATCATGAGTGATCCCTGAGCTCAAGCTAGGAGTAAGCCCTTAGCACCGCTGGATGTGCACTCTTCCAGCCAAAGAAGTCATTTGCCCAGTGCATGCTACTATCGACTGTATAGGAGAGTTTAGTAAATCCCACCCTTGCACTTCAGTTTGACCATCTGTTGAACATTCAGCCATTCTGGTGGGTGTGTAGTAGCATTGCATTTTAGTGTCAATTTGCGTTTTCTTTATCACTGATGAAAGTTGAGCAACATTTTACATAATATAGGCAATTGGAAGACTTTCTTTTTTGGCGATGACTCAGTTATCAGTGGACTTTTTTAAGGTGTCTGATTTGTATGAGTTCCTTATCTATTCTATCGATGTATTGCAAGTAACTAATCCCATTCTATGTCTCTCTCCCATATGGCTTCAGAGCTTGGCTGTTCTCTTTGTCCCCCAGCAGCAGCCCTGACTCTGCTTGTGCTCTGAGAAAGCAGCAGTATAATGTCACTGTAGACATCTGCTTACCTCTACTGTTTTAGGTTCTCTTTAATTTCAGCCTGTCTCATCCTTTGGGGCCTGAATTACTCCTGGCTCTAGGCTCAGGAATCACTCCTAGTGGTCGTGGTGTATCATATGGGGTGCCAGGGATCTAATCTAGGTTGGCTGTGTGAAAGGCAAGTAAGTGCTCTACTGTATGAATACTTAGAACCTTTTAATTTTTTTTACGGTTTTGCCAGCTCTCTGATGTCTCTACTATTTTTTGGGGGGGTGGGGGGCTTATTTTTTTTTTAATTTTTACTTATAAAAAACTGCAAATAGTACAGAAAAATTCCCATATACCCCTCACCCAACTCCCCCCTAATGTTAGCATGTTAGCAAATTACAATCAGAGTTCACTAACCAAACCAGGAATTTAACGCGTGAGCACTATTACTAGCCAAACAATAGGTTTTATCTTAAATTCAGTTCTCTTATTCCAATATTTTATTTTTGGAGATTTGTTTCATTTTTCCCCCCCTCATGATTAGAATTGACTTTTTTTTTAAGAATATCATAGAATGTTTGTGTTCTATTAGTGTGTTATGACTAGAACACATGATTTAAGTAGAACACATTAAGGGGAATTTTTTTTAGGAGAGATTTAATTTATTTTATTGTGCTTTTTATTAAATCACCATGAGATACACATTTATAAACTTGTGGATGATTGGGTTTGATCATCAATATTCCAAAATCTGTATCTTCACCAGTGTACATTTCCTACCACCAATGTTCCCAGTTTCCCTCCTTCCGTTCCCCAACCCCAGTCTGCCTGTATGGCGGCACTTTTCTCTTTGTCTCACGCTCTCTCTCTCCCTCTCTTCCCTTTTGGGTCTTAAGTTTTGTAATGCAGGTACTTAACGGGGTGTGTGTGTGTGTGTGTGTGTGTGTGTGTGTATCCCGGAGCGATAGCACAGCGGTAGGGCGTTCGCCTTACAAGCGGCCAACATGGCCGACCCGAGTTCGATTCCTCCGCCCCTCTCGGAGAGCCCGGCAAGCTACCGAGAGTATTCGATATGCCAGACACAGTAACAACAAAGTCTCCAATGGAGACGTTACTGGGCCCGCTCGAGCAAATCGACGGTCAACGGGAGGGCCTTTACCTTTACCTTACCTTACCTACTTTAAGCACTCAATTCTCGTCCAAGAGTGATCATTTCCAACTGTCATTGTCATAGTGGTCTCTTCTCTTTTCTAACTGGCCTCTGCCCGCAACTTGTGGCAAGCTTCCAACTGTTGGCCATGCCTTGTGGCTCTTTGTTTCTATTGTTCTTCGGTAAGAGGAGATCTTAATACTGATTTTTGGAAATTATTGGTGAGATTAACTGATCACTTTGCTAAAATGGTGCTACTGAATTCTTTCATGATAACTAATTTTTTTGTTATTTGGGTTTTATTTTTTCTTTTTGGTAAGTTAATACTAAGTAGAGAAATAATTTGATAATATGCAAATTTCTTTCTCCTCTTTCATTCTCAAGTTTTAAAACCTCTGGGATTTGTCTGAACTTTATTACTGTGGTGTCTGCCAAATGGTGATTGTTCTCTACATTTTTATGACTGAATTATTTCATACAAAACATTCTTATTTTATTCAAACACTTGTATAAATGTGGACTGGAGACTTATCTTCCTGGTTGGCTTAAGGTCCAAAACTGTCACTAATTCATCATTCAAAACTTTGACAGTTCTTTCAAGGTGACTCCCATATTCCTTATTAAAATTTTATTTAGCTTTTCTAGTTGCTTTCAATGGGAGCTTTAATTTTCTGTGTTCTTTGTCTTGTAAGTAGAGGTACTATAGTAAAGGATTTTTTTTTTAATCTATAAAGGTATTTTAGTGACCCCCAAGTTCAGCTGTGCTTTTCTTCCATCAGAATATCTTACTCTGAATGAGAAGTAGTCCTATTATCCAAAATGCATATCACTTTTTGTACAGCCTTAGGTTAGAAGGCTCGTCTTTATATTATTTTGTCACTGGATTGTTATATTTTTATGCAACAAGCCAGAGGTGCTTGCCTTGCACACAGCTGACCCAGGTTCGATGCCCAGCACCCCATATTGTCCCCTAAGCCCCTCCAGGAGTTATCCCCTAGTGCAGAGCCAGGATTAAGTCCTAAGCATGCCAAGTAGGGCCCCAATCCCCAAGTTGCCCCTTCCAGCCCCCCATACCAAGAACTATGGTTCTCTTCATGTTTTAATTTATATTATTAGAGTTAGATTCTGTTTGCTAATAGCACATCTTATCCTTGAATCGAAGTATACTCAGATTGTACACTTTTACTTTTAGTTCTGTGGAATTTGTTATTTCATGGTGTCTGTTTTGAGAACAGATGATCACACAGCATGAATTGCTGTAATAAGGAAGCTTGCTGATTCAAAATTAATTTCCCTCGTCATACGATTTTAATACAGACTTTAAAATCTTATTAATAAAGTATTAATAGCATAGAAACAGTATGAAGTTCCCACCGTTAGAAAATTTCAAAGAAAGCACTAAAGATAGGAGATTTCATAAGTCTTGAGTTTTAATCTCAAGGAAGCATTAAGTAGTATAGAGTCGGGTCCGAGAAATGTTGATGTAGCACAAAGCCAGATGGTTTCTACTTGGGTAGCTGCAGTTCAGTTGAGCTGCTTGATAGGAATCAGAGAAATAAGTCTTTAATGGAAACCCAACTGACTGAGAAGGGCAGGCATTTGGCAAAAGAAACAACAGTTGATATAGTGAAATTTGGGTTGAGGTAGGACAAGTGCAGGTAGATCTGTACCACATTTTTTCTGTGTGCATAAGAATTTGACAGGTTAGTCATCCATATTATCTTAGATTTATTTGCCCAAACAACACAAATACAGTCACTGTTTTTTTTTTTTTGCTTAAAACATCAGTTACTTAATTTTATTAGTTTACTTAATATTTGTCATTACAGTGGTGAAATGAAATTGTTGGAGACTTTTTTACAAGCATTTCTCAGAAACCAGGCTTTCTTGGCACTCATCAAGCCTATGATTATGAAGTCACCATCACCCCTCCAATTCTGTTCTCTTATAGCCCCGTGCATCTAAGGCCTTTTCCTCTCAGCTCTCTCTTACCAGGAATTCTGAGTCAGAATGCGATCTGTGGTAATTGCCTCTGTTGGGGACCCAGTCAGCTAATCATTCCTGCTCCTGATGCGATGCTGAACCGTTGGATTCAACATTCTCCCTCCAAGGCCTCAATCTTGTCTTCTCAGGGCTGCCTCTAGGGAGGGACAGGCTTCTCTTAAAATTCTGTAGGGGTCAACTGTCTACCGTTAGTGTGATTGATTTGTCATCTCATTGGAGAATTTATCTCTTATCATTTTTTGTGGTGATGGTGAATAATGTATTCAAGGAAACCTGTGAGATTTATTTAAAGCCCTCAATTGTTATTGTATTTACTTGCAAAGGTACTTACTATGTAACAAAATTGGTTGGGAATACATGTTCACAAACTCTCCTTTCTAAATTCTTCCTCATAGGTTTTCCATAGGCTGCACTCAAACACAGAGAGCCTTTTATTCTTTCCTTTCCAAAGTCCTTGTATATACCATTTTTCTTTGAATTTTTCAGAGCTGTCACTTAGCCTGAGTTTGGGATTTACTTCTTTTATCACAGCAGTGTCAGCTTAACCTACAAGAAACTCCATTTTGCCCCACTCTGGAGAGCAATCCTCCCTCCCTCCCTCCCTCCCTCCCTCCCTCCCTTCCTTCCTTCCTTCCTTCCTTCCTTCCTTCCTTCCTTCCTCCCTCCCTCCCTAACTCCCTCCCTCCCTTCCTTCTTTCCTCCCTCCCTCCTTTCCTTCCTTCCTTCCTCCCTCCCCCTCTTCCCTCCCTCCCAACTGTTAATGGTAGAGTTTCATACATAAAACATTTCAGCACCATACTCTTCACCAGAATGTTGCTTTCCTCCAGTTTTATCCCAGTGTCCCCCCCAGCCTGCCATGTGGGAAGCTTCCTTCTGGCAATCAGTACTTGGTTTCTGTTGCCTTTGGGTGTTTATTATTCCCTTACTGGGATTTTTCATATCCCACATATGAGATTGTTTTGTGTCCGTCCCTCCCCTTCTGACTAAGTATACTCTGTGTGATACTCTCCAGATACATACATGTAGCAGTAAATTGCATGATTTCGTCTTTTGTTAAAACCAAGCAGAACTGCATTGTGCCTGTGTATAAAGAAACCAGTTTCTTTATCCAATCATCTGTTCTTGGATACTTGTGTTGTTTACAGATTTTGGCTGCTGTGAATAGTGCTGCAATGAATATAAGAATGCAAATGTCTTTTCTTAATAGTGTTTTGGCCATTGGGGTCAATGCCCAGAAGTGAAATTGCACCCACATCAGACCCTCCGATATCTTCTAGAATTTGCCCTAGTGTCAGCAAGGATACCCTAAGCTTTGGCTTTGCCCCTCTTAGTACTAATTCTGGCAAGACACAGAGATATCAAAACATGAAAACAAATGGATGTAAAAACTGTCAAATATATTTCAGAATATTTCATTTTGGGGTAATTCCTTAGAATTATCTACAAATTTTTACTTTCTGTTGTTGAGTCACACTAACCACTGACCTATTTAATTTCTGAAAGAAAAGAAGTGAGAAGAATGAGCTTAATTTTGGTTGATTCTTAAAACAAACAAACAAACCAAAAATGTCCTAATTAGGTGAGAAGCAAACTTCTCTCTGGCTTTCACATCCACTTGACTATTTCTAGATGTCTGCCTGTATGTTCAATTAGTATGAAGGACCTCTGTGTGTACTCTAATTTATCTAGCCCACACTTTCCTTCAGAAAAACATCGATTTCTGTCAAAAAAACAAAAAAGTAAATTAGTTCCTCCCTACAGTGAAGGTTTTCATCACTAATATTTACACGAGAAGTTTTGTTTAGTTTTTGTTTTTACTTTGGGGGCACACCTGGCAGTGCTCAGGGCTTTCTCCAGGCTCTGAGCTTAGGGATCACTCTTTTGGGGGTTCAGGTGTCCACATGTGGTGCTGAAGATCAAGCCTAGGTCCACTGCCCCATCTAGTGTCTGTCTGACCCCTCTCATTGACTTTTGGGAAAGAAAGTAGAGAGCTTCTCTCACTAGTTGGTGCAGAGTGATTCTCTGTTAGCACCAGAAAACAGAACTTTTATTACATGTTGATATGAGGTAACCCAGTCAACCTCCACCTTTAGTAACAACATTGCTGGCATATATGGTCCTTATATTTTGCTTACATGTCACATAGGATGTGTTTCACATGACATAGTGCCCATAGGCTAGAACTTTTGGATCTGAATAAAACTTATAAGTGAAATATACCATTTTAGCCACTTGATTGAAAAAAAATAGGGCAAGAAAGATGACACAGGACTTTGCATGGAACTGACCCCTGTTCTATGTCCGGCATCACATGTTCCCTTGAACAGCCCTGCTCACTGCGTTGGAGTGCCCCTAATACTGGTAATCCCTGTGACACGGTCTAGCAGCACTGCATCTTTGGGCCTTAACCCAGTTGCCCAGAAATTGCTGTGCTATCTTTGGGGGTCCCCTGAGCATTGCCTGAGAGGCCCCTTCCTTAGCACCAATGCTCACAATGTTTGCTGAAGCTTATTTCAAAACAGAACTTAGATAGTTACTGTTTACTACTCTGTGTATTCTTTAAAATTATAAGTTTTGCCATCACTTTCCATTTATTTGATGACTTTACATTAGTGTATGTGATTTGAATGACAAAGTATTAATAAAGATTAATTATAAAATTAAGATTAGAATTGACACTAACTTTATTTCATTTTACACATGCCAGATAAAGATAAAAGAAAGAAGGCACAAGGGAAAACCAGAAAGAAAGAAGTAGATAAATTGACGCGGAAACAACAGGCCAATGATCGGAAATATGATGACAGAAGAGCAGACCACAGGCACCAAGAAACCAGGACTGAGCGGGAAAGAAGATCAGAAAAGCATAGAGAGAAAAATTCAAGAGATCCACATTGGAGAGATTCCGTATCGGCATACACTTCAGAGAGCAGAGGTGTTCCTTCCGAACGAAATAGCTATAGTAGAGTTATGAATGATGGAGACCAAGAAATGTATACAGATTTGGAAAGTAAGCATGGTGACACCAGAAGGAAGAGAGGAGAAAGAAGAAATTCCTTTTCTGAAAATGAGCACCGACACCGAAATAAGGACAGTGAGAATTTCAGAAGAAGAGAGAGATCGAAGTCAAAGGAAAAGAGTAGAAAACATTCAGATTCCAGAAGTGATGAAGATAGATATCAGAATGGTGCTGAGAAGAGATGGGAAAAATCTAGCAGGCATTTTGAACAGTCTAGAGAATCAAAGAAAAATCAGGACCGACGAAGAGAAAAGTCTCCAACAAAGCAGAAAAAATAATTGTACAAAATGACAGAAATTGACCATGCCTTATATGTAGTTGAAACAAATTATTTTTCACATTGATGAACTTTATAGAGAATTCTTGTATAAAGTACTGGTTTGTATATGTACATTTAAAAACTGTTTTTGTTTCAACACCTTTTATAACCGATGCATCTCAAGGCCCTCTGCTTCAAGTTATTTGAAAAGTTTCACCAGAGAGGGATGTAATTCTTGCTTATATTTTGATAATAAAATATCAAATGCTCATTGAATCAGTGATTTTTTTCATTGACAACGTATTTTTTCTGATAATAATATTTTGAATAGTTTATAAAACTATTAGATTGAATTGTTAGTACCATTTTATTTATAACTGGAGACCAAAATAGAGGGATCGTTTCAAGTGTAACATTTCTGCTTTGTTATTTGTGTGCTGTGATTCATTTCCTAGTCACTCTTTTTTTAAAGTAGAGAAATCATTTCAAGTTTCATATCATATATTTAATAAAATCTGTAACTTTTCTAATGTGTTGGTGAAGATGAGTAGGTGTTTGTTAGTTTTCATCACAGCTATTTGATTTATAACTGGTACATCTCTCATTGATGACATTTCTTCTCTCTGGCCTGGTAGATAACACTTAATTGGAATTCTTTCCCTTATTGCTTTTCTCAGCCTTAAAGTTATATCACTGTTGGTTAGTTAATACGTATTTAATTTTTTTATTTGAATTAATAGGCCATTGAAAAACAAATGGTCATAGGAAATGTAAAAGCCTGTGAAATAATTCCAATTTTGAAATAATTTTAAGAATTTCCAATTGTAATATGTGACCATATTATTTATTACTTTGGGAATAAACTATGTCTTTGAAATTTTAGGTTTGCTGACAGATTTTTGTGCCCCATAGACTGACAGTTTTTATTGCAGTTGAGGTAAAATGGTTTTGATGATGGTAAATGCTTCTGCTTTTGGTGAACCAAGTTATAGCACCTCAGTCACCACTGTTGTGCCAAAGATCCTGTATCACTATCTCATGTCCCTTCTACTTCACTGCTTCTTGCTCCGTTCCCCACCATGATTAACGAACCTCATTTCCTTAGTCAAAATCCAAGGATTTGTTAAAATCATTGGATACTGTCATTCAGTTGCTTTGTTTCTTATATACCATACTTGAGTGAGATCGCATGGTATTTGTCCTCTCTCTGCTTATTTTGCTTAGCACAACACCCTCTGTAACTTCTTCCACTTTATAGCAAAGTACAAGAATCATCTTAATGATAAGTACTACTCCATTGTACATATACTGCAACTCCTTTATCCACTTATCTACCAATGGCATTTGAGTGTTGCCTTTGCCTTTTACTATTGTAAATAGTGCTGCAGTAAATATAAGACTGGTATCTTTTCAAGTTGATACTTTGTGTTCACAGAAGTGTAATTATTGTCATATGGGAATTTTATTTTTAATTCTTTGAGAAGTTTCTGCTATTTCCCAAGAGGCCAAACCAGATAGTGTTCTCACCAGAAAATGGGGCAGTTTTCTTTTATCACATTCTGTTTCTAACAACACTGGTTTTTTATTCCTTTTTTTTTTTTTTTGACTGATGTGGGGAGGAGAGGTTGGGGCCACATCCAGTGGTACTCAGGGTTTACTCCTGGCTCTGTGCTCAAGGATCATCCTGGTGGGGCTTGGGGGATCGTGTGATTCCTGACATCCACCTGGGGTCAGCTGCTTTCAAGACAAGTACCTTGATCTCTGTGGTATCTCCCTGGTCTGTTTCTGGTCTTTGTCTACAGACCATTCTTAGTGTGTGAGATCATTGCCATCTTGATTTGCATTTCTCTATTAACTGATAAGGTTGAACACTGCTTGTTGGCAATCCCCAAGTACTGAGAATATGTCTCTTCACCTCCTCATTTTTTTAAATTGTAGAGCATTGTGTGTGTTTTATGTTTCTTGGAATTAGCCGTTTATCATATGCATGGTATATAAATATTTTCTCCCATTTAGCAGAGTATCTTTTTATTTTAGTCTTGGATTCTTACAATCAGGCAAATTGTGGTTTGATGTACGCTTTTTATTTTTCTTTTTAAATTTTTTTTTCCAGTTGTGTCAGATTATTGAAGACACCTCTTAGGTCAATATTTGGGTTAATCTGTTTTTGTCAATGTATTTTATAGATTTTGGTCAAGTATCAAGGATTTTGAATCAGACTTTTATGGTGTTAAGAATCCAATTTTTTTTAAATTTATTTTTTATTAGTGAAACACCATGAGGTACAGTTGTAGATTTACAAATTTTTGTGCTTGGATTTCGGTCATACCATGATCAAATACCCATCCCTCCACCAGTGCCCGTTTTCCACCACCAAGGATAATATCCCCCCACCCCCATTCCCCCCATCCCCCCTGCCACTGTGGCAGGGCATTCCCTTTTGTTTTCTCTCTCCTTTTGGGTGTTGTGATCAGCAAAAGGGAGCACCAATTTTTTTTTAGGGGTGTGGGTTGCACGTGATTATCCAGTTTTACCAAAACTATTTGTTGACAAGGCTTCCCTCCTCCGCTTAATGGACCTTTTGTTTTATAGATTGATGTCATTATGCCTCAGGTTTTCTTCCAAGCTCCCAATAATGTCCTATTTTTTAAAAAATCTGCTTTTATTCTACTACACTTTATTACTGTAGTTTTAAATCTGGAAATATTTCACATTTAATATTTTTTGTTAAAGTTGCTTTGGCTATCAGGAAGTTTAATGATTCCATTGTAGTAGTGTTTGTTATAAGTCTTCCATGAATGCCATTCGAATTTAGATAGGAATTTCATTGAATCTGTGTAATGCTTTGGGTAGTATGGTAATATTGGCTATGTTAATTCTTCCAATCTGTGAACATGAATTTTCTTTCACTTTTTTGTATCTCACCCGCACGCCAAAGCCTGGCAAGCTATCCGTGATGTATTCGTTATGCCAAACACAGTAACAAGTGTCACAATGGAGACATTACTGGGCCCACTCGAGCAAATCGACGATCAACGGGAGGGCCTTTACCTTTACCTTTACCTATTCTCCTAATTCAAATATATTTAACTCACTACCATGGCCTAGAGACATAGCACAGCGGTAGGGCGTTTGCCTTGCGACAGCCAGCCCGGCCGAGCTGGGTTTGATTCCTCTGCCCCTCTCAGAGAGTCCAGAAAGCTACCGAGAGTATCTCGCCCGCATGGCAAAGCCTGGCTAGCTCCCCGTGATGTATTCGTTATGCCAAACACAGTAACAAGTGTCACAATGGAGACATTACTGGGCCCACTCGAGCAAATCGATGAACAACGGGAGAACAGTGACAATGACAGTATAGTTTAATAGTGATTTAGAGTTTTTAATTTGTCTTTTACCTTCATTGTTAATTCCTTATGGTAATTCATGGATTTGGGCACTATGTTTTAGGGATTTAAGACCCTGGCAAGCTCCCTGTGGCGTATTCGATATGCCAAAAACAGTAACAGCAAATTTCACAATGGAGACATTACTGGTGCCCCTTGGGGCAAACAATGAATAATGGGAGGACAGTCACAGTCACAGTCCTCCCATTGTTCATCAATTTGCTCGAGCGGGCCCAGTAACGTCTCCATCATGAGACTTATTGTTACTGTGTTTGGCATATCGAGTACGTCACTGGGAGCGTGCCAGGCTCTGCCGTGCGGGCGAGATACTCTCGGTAGCTTGCCAGGCTCTCCGAGAGGGGCGGAGGAATCGAACTCGGGTCGGCCATGTTGGCTGCGTGCAAGGCAAACGCCCTACCGCTGTGCTATCACTCCAGCCCAATGGGAGGACAGTGCTACATTATTGCAACAGATTTTTGTGTTACTTTTATAACCTGCTACTTCATTGATTTATTGTTTATAAAAGATTTTTTAGCGGAGTCCTTAGTATCTTATATGAAATATTATCATATGCTGACAGATTATTTAAAGCTATTGAAAACTATTTGTGCTTGTTTACTTTAATGTTACATAAAGATGTTATCTGAAGTCAGGATTTAAGAATAACAGGACTGCTCATGTTAAGGTTTGGCTTTTAGGTATTTTCTTATTCACTTTTTTCCTTCTATTTTTAATGGATGTCTTTTACCTTCGTTGTTAATTCCTTATGGTAATGTATGGTTTTGGACACTGTGTTTTAGGGATTTAAAAAAATATATTTTTATTTGAAATCTTGATGTAACTAGAAGACCCATATATTATTAACCTCTTTCCCTCTTCAGCAATCCAGCCACCACCCCAAAAAATTAGTTCAATATTAGAAAAATGTATAGTTTTCTAATGTGATTGTTACAAGGTGATGAGTGACCTAAGAAAGAACTTTCTTTGACATTTTGCAGAACAAACTTTCTTCGACATTTTGTAGACTAGACAGGTTATATCTTTAATTTATTTTCTAAATATAAGGGGAAAAATTTAAATCCTAAACTTATTTTAGGAGTTCTTTGTTTGCTTGGTTTTTTTTTTTTTGTCTGTTTGTTCGTTTGTTTTGGTTTTGTTTGTTGGTCTTGGTGTTGGGCCACACGGAGCAATGCAAGGTCTTAGTCCTGACTCTGTGCTCAGGGATCACTTCTGGTAGACTTGGGAACCATATAGGGGCCAGGGATTAAATCCAGCTGGCTTTGTGCAAGGCAAATGTCCTACCCATTGTATTAAGATATGTGTTTTTTAAGTATACCTATTGAATTATCTATATACTTAATAATTAAGAACTATATTAAATGGAAAAAAAATTTAAAGCATTTTATTAAGTGTGAGTACTTGTTGAGCTTCTATATTTTCAGGTCTGAATAGGAACTAGAGATAAACCAATGAAGAAATTTTAACCTCAACTTAAGGTTGGAAGGGAGAGCAGTGAAACATAATAAATCATTAGGAGTATAATACATGGTGTAGTGATGAATGTATGAAGAATAAAAAAATTTAATAGAAGAGAAGAAAACCTGTTATTTTTGTTTGTTTGTTTGTTTGTTTTTATCTGAATGCCAGATAGGATCGAAGACACCACAGTGTTTGCCCCAGTATTTGTAGGAATAAGGACTCGAACCTTGGGGTCTGCTGTGGAAGATCCTGCTGAGACATGAATGTTTACCTATAGTAAATATTATCTAGAAAGTTCTGTTAACTTGCATGTATTAGTTTAGATTTTTTTGTTCCCTAAATTTTTATTTCTACAAAAGCACTTACAGAACCTCTAACCACCTCGTAGCAGAAGGATCTTGAGTGAGTTGTATCAGGACAGGCTGAATAGGAGCGTGGGGTGGAGCTGGAGACTTCTGCTCCCAGTGCATTTCTGTGACATCCAAAATGTGTTCACATGCACTGTCATGTCACATACCTCTCAGCTCTGACATCAAATATATGTTCACGTGCACTGCCTACCACCCAGGTTTTTTGCTTTTAACAATTTACATGTGCCTGTATTCGCTGTTTCTGACTTCTTGCCTTTTTTAAAGAATATTTTGTAAGGATTGGGTTATGTACACAAATTAATTTTTGTCTATTGATTGCTCTGTTTCTGAGTTCCTCAGCTCCTTTGAAGCAATCTTCTTACCTCTAATTTGGTTCTTCTCTTGCTATCTACTCCCACAGTCATTTCCTTTTTTTTTTTTTTTGACTTCAAAACCTACACCACTTCTGAAACCACCTCCTTAAGCACCACACTCTGACTTCTAACCATCCAGTTCATCTGCTTTAGTATTGCTAGGAATGTTTTCACTTCACTAAGACTGTACCTGTTGACTTTGTTGTAATTAGTTTTCCTCTACCCCATTTCTTTACTTCCTTCATTCTGTGTTCTCATGTGAATGAGTGAATAATAATTTTTATA